TTAACAAAGACCCAGGAGCAGTTTATATATTCGCCACTGATGTTAGCCGTGATACGGAATTAAACCCAGCGGGAACCACTCGGCATACACACGCTCACCCATAGCCACACAATCACGCCAGTACATGTACTCACACAATCCACAATCACACAACACAAAGATCCCCTTTAACAGACTGTTGGGGGCTGTTAGGGAGCACCTATGAAGGCTGGAACGACACACGAGGGGGTGGGGGGCCAGCACTATGCCCCGGCCGCCTTTGTCTCCCCAGTGTCGATGTTTACACATCACACCAGGTACTCATCGTTGAGGCTGAGTCGACATAGGGGGGGGCCTCGGACTGGTTTCGTGTGAATGTATGTTGAACTTCTTTCGCAGCGTACGTGACCTCCCGTGCTAATCGGAGGTTTCGATAATAGCCGCTGGTTTTGGCTGTGAGCGGGAATCGAACTCGAGTCTGCCAGATCGTAGCGCGCTAAACGATGCACCACCGCTCCCCACCCGACACATGACAACAGCTGTTCTTTGTCACGAAGTGGCGGTGACGTCACCGCAGCGCTGGTGCCAGGCTAGGTGCACTCTAAGCCCACGTGAACCGCCAAAGACTGACACAAGCTCTCGGGACAGACTCGAGTTGCCCATGGGTCGACGGACTGGGATGACTGACGGATGCATCGCCGGTGGTCCCCGCCGCCCCCAAGTCGCTGCGCCGCAGCCGCTCCGCTCGTGCTTGTCCGCGTGCCTCCTCCGCCCTCCGCTGTTGCTGGAGGGCGACTGCCTCCAATTGCCCAGCAGTAGCAGCAGCAGCAGCAGCGTCCTCACGAGCCTCCTACACAGAGGCCGACCTTGACACCGCTGGCACCAGACATCGGCAAGTCCACTCAGCTCCATCTCTTCTCCAGTCCGTGCCTCGCCTGTTTAGTCCTCTTTATTCCGGCCAAACAGAAGCTGCTTGGGCATGCGGTGGTTGGGCACGACACAGACAATTCGTGTCCACCTGCGGGAGGAGCCCACTGATGGGCCAGTGTTCAGATCTTTCAGGGAGCTGTGATTTCCTAACAAAATCCAGCCTGGTTAAACCCAGGATGGATCGAAGGCACGCAAGCCTAAATGTTGCAAGCTGATACAGGTGTTCCTGAAAAGGGGTCCACATTTAGCAAGTATACAGAAGCGAGGGCATGTATGTTGAATTTCTTCTGCACCGTACGTAGCCAACCCTGATAATCGGAGGCGCGGCATCAGTTTGGCTGAGAAGACCAGGAGCTTTGTATGGAGCCATTGACCTGGTAGCTTCCTCAGCGTTACGTAGCTAAATTAAAAGAATGCTGCTCGACTGATTCGGAGACCTCCACTGCCAAACTGTAGCTGGCCATGAGTACACTGCTCAGGGTACATAAACTTCTCCACTCTCTCCTACAGCCACCCCATTACTCATGGGGAAGTGTAGAGGGTTGTGCTTTGCTTTAGTAGGGCTGATAGTAAGCCTCTTGGTGACGCGTCATGTTCAACAGCAGGTTCTCCAACTTCTCAGAGCAGCATTTACCAAGCAGAGCAGCATTTACTAAGCAGAGCAGCATTTACCAAGTTATCAGCATACGTAACAATGTTGACCAGTTGTGAGCCATACCTTGACTGCATCTGAGCATCGTTCAGCATCCCATTGAACCTGTAACAGATTTAATTCCACTGGTACAGCCATGGGAAGCTTCTCAATCTACGTGGTCAAAAAAAATCCATGTTAAATAGTGTAGGGGCCAGAGGGCATACCTGTCACAGCCCAAGGTGAACAGGAGATGGCTCTGACTTCGGGTCACAGAGCTTTACCCGGACCTGCCCATCACCATATGTAGTTGACCCCTGCTCTCTCGATGGTATCGTAGGCATCGACCAAGTCAATAAAGCAGAGATGTAGGTTCCTGTTGTAGAGAATCACATTCAGGACTGCTGTGGCCCGGACCCACACTGAGACCTCCACATGCTTATCCTGAGCATATCTGGCGAGGCAATGTTGCATAATCCTTGCCACGACTACTTCCTAGCACGCGGAACGTGTTATATTGGTTCACATAATCATTAGAACTCACCAGTGAGCCACAGCCAGATACCGACTGCCAAAGAAAGCCCAGAGTGTGATATCGGTCTTCGTAAATCAATACAACTCATTAATGGGCCATGTCCAGATGCAGACTCTCAATGAGAGCTCGGTGCTGTTATGAGTCATCATTATCATTGGGGTTCATCGGTCCACTCAGACTAAAATTGTCAGCCCCAAATGATGAACCTTGTTACTGGGAAAGAGCCACAATGTTGCACTCTTGGAGTTCACAATGTATGAAATAGGCTCCAATAAATAATAATCGTGTCAAAATAACATATTGTACATGTTTTAGCTCCGCAAACAATTCAAAAGAGATATCCGACTAGCGAATTAAGGGTATTTTTCTGAAATTATCATTGGCGGATTTTAACTTGCCGCGTAAACAGTGACTTTTAAATCAGAATAAAATTACTTGTTGAACACAGTTTTGTGGCAGTGAGGTTTATTAGCCATTTCATGCACAATATTACTTTACCTTTGTTGGTCAGTTATATGCATTTTCATAAACACAAGGCTACTCATCTTGTTTGAGACTTTAATAAACAATTATAATTGAGGTGAGCTACTTCAGTTGTCAAAATTGCGTGCATTTTATTGGTGGCCGGGCTGAGACCATAGACTTACCACACTTGAGAACCCGGTTTAATATGGTTAAGCCATGTTTCTTGCGAAAGTGTGGAGTTGGCCTGATACCTTGAATCTAAATTGTCTTATGGTTGTTCTTGTTTGTCTTGCATCACACTAGGATTTTTGCACACAGCGTTGTAATACGGTGTTTTTTTCTGGAAGATTTGCTGGTTTATCCAGGATGTTTCTGTTGCGCGTCGTCGTTTTAAGATGTTCTCTGTTCATATTAAGTTTGTTGCGGTTGCACCCGACTCAAGAGCCGCATGGCTCAGAGGGCTATACCTAATAAATGAAACTTTAAATTAATTATAGACGGATGACACATGGATTTAAACCTAAATCAGCTGTGCTGGGTCAGTGTCACCGACATGGCCATTATGAACCCCCTTGAGATAGACACCCAGAGACCCACGGCTTGAACCCAGGATCTCAGCAGTACTGGGCTCATTGTATCTCACACATCCTGCCGCCTGGCTCCCCAGGTACTCATTTCAAGGCTGAGGTCCAGGACCGGTGAGAAATTTGCCACTGATGTTAGCCGTGGGTGAGAATGAAACCAATACAGCCAGGTTTGTAGCGCAGTGCGATAATCACTACAACACATATATACACAAAGACAAAGATCCCCCGTGTAACCTGAACAGATTGTTGGGGCAAGTGATGTTGGCAAGCACGAATTCGGGATGCCGGGTTCATAGCGCATCGCGCTAACTGCTACACTACCGCTCTCCACCATATATGCACACACAGGGTCATATATATACATGGATATATACTGTACTCAAATGCCACACAAATGCACATGTACAGTTTGTACAAATGGTACATACACGTGCACATAATAAACATAAATGAGTGATACACGCACACGTACACAAAAAAGGATAATGCATTTCAAAATATTCATGACAAAGTACCAAACGTAAATAAACACAAAGGGGGCCATACACATACACGGATAATGCATACAGATGGGTGACATATATGTACACATACACAAAGGGGATCATACATACACCCACCTAAACAGGTCAAACCGACATAAAGGGGTCATACAAATAGACGCACATACACAAAGGGTTGACGGAAACAAATACACACAAATACATAAAGGGGCCATGCACACATACACACATAAAGGGGTCATACATATAACGAGGTCATTCACATACACACATGGGTGACACACATAAAGGGGTCACACACACACACACACATGGGGGTTGACACACGCACGGAGTGTTACCCACCCCTCCCCTCCCCCACCGCCTCTCTGCCCCCCTCCACTAGTTAGCGCACACCACGTGATGCCGCCCCTAACTAAACTAGCCAGGTTAGTATTATGGGATATAGCCGTCGCCCTGGCAACCGGCCCGTGACGTCACGCCCAACTTCCCCCCCCTTCCCCCCCACACCCCATCCCCCACTCACTCCCCGCTTTGTTCTGGGGGGAAAGGGGGAGGGTGGGGGTAGAGGGGAGGGGCTGTTCCCCCCGCCCCGCCCCTCCCCTCCCCCTCCCTTCTCTTCCCCCACGTTCATTCTCCATTGGAAGTGGAAGAGTTAAGACGCTAAAAGGTGGCGCTCTTCATGGCATCATTGTTATTCGCGTTATTATTAGTTACATTAATTACATTAATTATAACCGTGTTACCATTCGTGGTGGGCACCTACTGCGCGGAGTATACTGCGTTGTGTACTGTATAGCATACAGTTTACATGTACTGTCGAGTACTGTAGTCCATGTGGGTGGAGGTTACAGGATGTCATGTGTGGAAATCGTTTTCCATATTGTCTGGATCATCACCATCAGCTGAGTTCTAAGTTCTCAATTTCCCGTGAGGTTGTAATACGTAGTGGGAAGGTTTGGTTCAAGAATGTATAATGTATAGGTTCATCATCATGATCGTCATCATCCTCGTCAGATCATCATCATTGAGTCTTTAACATCACCATATATCATCCTCATCAATCCTCATCTCATTTTGAGTTTTACTGACTGTTAAGAGGTGTAGGATTCTGGTTTACGTCAACATTTACTGCAATTTAATTTGTAATGATCAACTTGGTGGGATTTTGATCACTAAATTTATCAGCATCACTACCATCACCAACCATTCATTACAAACTAACCATCACAATCACCACAGCCATCATCGTCGTCGTCATGATGAGGAGCTAATCGTGTAGGAAGAGACGAGAGTGGTGGGGGGGTGTGGGAGGAAGGTCGAGGCATGGGTAGGAGGAGTCACAGTGATCACAGGCCCTGGGCCATCTTGATGCAGACCCTCCTCATTGTGAGCTCACGGGAGAGGCGCCAGGAGGAAGTCCGCTCCTCGTCACCCAGTGAGACGTCACTGCTGAATATCGATCAATGCTTACTTTGGTAAAACTTACGATGATTGGTAATTAATACTGGGACGCTTTGTTAGGAGCTGAGGAGGACTGAAGCCGAGGGCGAGGGACAGCATGGACCCACTGGACGGCCTGGGAGGTGAGCGCCGCGTTTGTCTCCGTGCCTGTGTGCGACTTTGTCGTCGTTATGTGGTCCTGTCGTGGTTATTATGACTTTGTGTGGTGTCTTCGATGTGTGTGTGGTGTTGGTATGTTGTGTGTCTACCTCTGGTGTGTGTAGTGGAGTGTATGAGTGTGTCGTGGTTGCGTCTGTGGGGCGAGCTGGTCTTAATAGGTGCTCGCTAACAACGCGTTAGGAGGGTGATTTTTTTGTGCGATTGTCGCGGTCACATCGCATCTAACATTCCAGTACTGTCCATGCTCATTAATCCTGCACGGTGTAGAATGTTAAGCTTTTGTGTGTATAATGTGTATGCAGTGTGTGGCTGTGCACAATTCTGGTTTAAACTTTTGGTAATCCTGAATATGTAAAAGTATTGTACAGTACAGTGACATTCTAGTAGAGTGGCGTGGTCCTTGCGTTGGGCATATATCTGGATAAGCAATGCGAGTTAAATATTCTTTAACGCCGGTATAAGAACTTAGATTATACTTCACCCCCAAACCCCTTCTGCCATTGTCGCATGACATTTGTTCAATCGTACCGATCTTAGCCGTATGCGTCCGAACTTTAAACCAGGTTTTAATGATCCGAATACCTATCTTCAACGCAATACTATATTGCGTTACGCAAATACTTGGTGATGATAATGTAATAATATGAATTGTGTGCTTTGACACATGAATGCGGTATGTGGGTTTAAAAACCGGGCACCCTACCGCTTAAATAAGCAGGGTTGGGAAAAGTGTAATGTGTTTATTGTAATGTTTACACGCGCTTTGTGTATTTTGTGTTTGTGTATTGTATGTAAATCATCGTGTCTACTTGTGTGAGAGTAATCGCTAGAAAACCTCAGGGGGTCCGAGTTTCCTTTATTTCGCATACCCGGCGTTCGGTGGCATTTCAGGCAAACATTTATCAAATTTAGATAAAATTTTCGTGTTTAAAGTTTTGCCGATCCGAGACGGAGTTAAAGTAACGTTACATTGTGTGTTTGTACTTGACATTTTTTATAATTTGAAGCGAAATTAGTCGAGGGAAAGGGCGGGAAAGGCTCCGTGCCGCGACTAGGCCCCGGCGCTAGGCGAGGGCAGGACGCATGCGCTCCCAGGCCACACACGTGCTTGGTCTTAAAAAACAACGTTAAAATTTACACAATCGTTAACATTGCTATTAGCTTTGTCATCAAAGTTATGAACATCGCTAACAACGAAACCGCACAATCTGAAATCCTCTTCCAACATCCCTTAACATCAATATCGTACGCAGCATTAACAATTGTTTTACACGAACGTGAATATCACGGACATCGTTCACATCTTCAACAATCATTAACGCATAACCTATCAAATATGGAATCTTTACATAGTAGCACAGTCATCGTCGTGAACATCTTCTTAAACAGTCACGGACATCTTCTAACCTTTAAACAATTTGCCTCGACAATGTCACAATGCTTCTTACCCTGCTTTTCACTATCACGTCATCCTCGGCATCTGTAGATGATCGTCTTCGTCCTCGGTCCTCTTTAAAATCTTCATAAGATCTGCACATCTCACGCCATTACTCCCCGGGAGTCTCTAATCTCCACTCGCATCTGCGTGTTTCACCTTCCCCGTCTCTTCCCCCACCTGCCTGTCCTCTCATCCACATTTTACTTTCGCATCGCTCAGCGTCCCCTCCATCTCTGCCGCCTCTCAGTGCTTTTCCTGATCTCCACATGTCTCTCCTAGCTCTGGATATCCCATATACAGTACTGTACAGCTCGTATGCCCGTCTCATCTCCTAGCGTTTCCCGCATATCTCCGTGTCTCCATACGTCCCCGTGTTTCGCCACATCTCCCCCGTCTCGCCCCTCTCTCCATCCACCATAATATCACAATCACACCCCTCCCTATTCACGAGACACCAAAACCTTTAAGGCAAGAGTTCCATAATCGACGAAACCCAAGATCCTCTTGCAAACCTAATCAGGACATGGCGTGCATGGACCCTTGTGATTGAGCTTTCAGCTGTTATAGGTCGTGGCGTTGTGTTCCGATTGTGTATGGTCATTGTGTCTTAGCATCCTGTGTCCCATATTTTGTGGCTTGTGTCTTCTGTGTATTGTCATGTGTCTTGAGTCTCGTTGTGTCTGTGTTTTCTGTCTGGCAGTCTCAACGTCTGTTGGGGATCTTTTAATTGCCTTTATTGTATCGCAGCCTGCGTGTCTCTGTGCATATAACGTTTGTGTCTCAAGACGTGGGTTTTCCTTGCTTGTCAATTACATCTTTTAAGTATCGCGCGTTTGTGTTATTATGTGTCCATATTACATAATGTCACGCATACACAACACGAGGTATGTTTGTTTCCATGTAAGTATATGTCCATGTATTCAATGCATATTGTGTTCGTGTCGTGCATGTTTCCGTATGTTCCGTGCCGTGTATGTTATCGTAGTTTAATCTCAATCCAGTGTCTGCCTCGTGTGTCCCAGTGTCGACACTGTCCCTTGTGGGTGCTGTATTGTACACAATTTCTTGTTGTCTCAAGATTGTTGTCTATGTGTTTATATATGACCTTCCTGTTGTATGCCTTGAGTATATTCACATCATGAGCTCATGTGGTGTTTTGTAATGTCAGGTTTTTTTCCTGTATCCTGTGTGGGCTGTGATTATACACGTACATTCATATAAATGTACTTCATCAATCCACAGATGGGTAAAGTTCTAAAGAGTGCAGCTTATCTTGGTTTTTACATATTTCTGTAACACGCTTGTGTTAGTGCATTTGACATGTGTTTATTGTATAGAGTACATGAACCCAGATGGTATGTCTGCCCGATATATACATACGGTATCGCGATTTGGTGTTTTGTACACATTGCATGTTATGTCTGCGTGGTGGTTTTGTGTATATGTACATGATAATACTGTCTGCCTCTGCTCTAGTATTACAACATAACGCTTTAATGAGACTCTATTCCCCCCTATCACCCCCCACCATCCCCCATCCCCCCCCACCACCCCCCATCCCCCCCCACCACCCCCCATCCCCCCCCACCACCCCCCATCCCCCACTCTCCCTCCCTTTGTCACGCAGGACGAGGGGCGGGAGTGTGGGGGGGGCTACACCCCCTCCCCTCGTCCGCCCCCTCCCCTCGTCCGCCCCCTCCCCTCGTCCGCCCCCTCCCCTCCCCGCCACCCACCCCGCCACCCACCCCGCCACCCCTCCCCGCCACCCCTCCCCGCCACCCCACCCCGCCACCCCTCCCCGCCACCCCACCACCCCACCCCTCCCCGCCACCCCACCACCCCACCCCTCCCCGCCACCCCACCACCCCACCCCTTCCTCCACTTCCCCCCCCAGCGACCCCCCTCCCTCCACTCTACCCCTCCCCCACTCGCCATCTTCCCCTCCTCCCCGCCACCATCACTTCGCACGTTTCTTGGGTTTCCGCGCTTTCCAATTTCATAGCGTGCTGACGTAGCGAATACTTGCATCCCATTGGTCGAGGCGCTCTGCCAATCACGTCCCACTTGGGGGGCAGGGGTGGATGTTGTGGGGGGGGGGGGTCTAAATCGCTGTGGGAAATGAGAATTCCGCTCCAGCGTGATGCAACTTCCGGTTGTCTCAGGTTATTATGTTCTCTGAACGCCCCCCACCCCCTTGTGATTGGTTGACGCTGGTAATTTAATGCGTGCCTCTGGTTGATTGGTCCTCCCCCAACACCACGCTGTGATAATGCATTCGACGAAACGGGGTGGGGGGCTGCATGGTGACGTCATCATTTCGGCGCCTTGACGTTAGGATGCGACTCATGTGATTTTTGGCTATCATTTGACAATAGCGCATTGATTTGATACTCTTTTTAACTTTCTGACCTCTGCTATGAAGAAAAGCCCATTGGCTGAAAAGTGGTGGTTGTATATGTTTCCTTTGAAGGCCAATGTGTTATTGACGAATGTACATTTTTTTTGGTGTTTGTGCTTGTGCAACATTGCCAAATGCAGTATAACCAATTTGTTTAATACACAGTGGTGAATTGGTGGATGGCTGGCCTTGGTCGCAATGTGGATATGGAATTTCCTCCAATGGTTTCAGTGCTGCCAACAGCAATGCTTTGAGCAGAGACACTGACTTGTATTGTGTACTGCATCTTATCAATCTACTGCTGGATGAGGGCCTCCCCACATCATGCAGGTCGTGTGGACTATTTGATCATATTCATGCTGGTTAGTGTGGGTTGGTGAAGGAGTTGGAGGACAGGACAAGTTAAGACCTCACTTGCCCAATGAAGGTAGCCGTGGCCCGGAATCTAACTCGTGTCGCTGGGGTAATTGTGCAATCACTATGCCACCTATCGAGGTGGCGAGATGTAAACTACTTCGCCTGTTTACAGGAGGTCGTGGGTTCGATCCTGACCCTGACACCCTAATATATGGAGTTTGCATGTTCTCCCTCTGGTTGTCTCGATTTTCTTCAGAGTCCTCAGGTTTTCCCCTCCACATTTATAAACATGTATTTAGAGTATTTGGCTGCTATAAATTTCCACGTGATAAGCCACCTTGTTGAGCATTTCTTTTTTGATACCCAGGGCCCTTCTGAAAAAGAGCTATATGGCTCCGTGGGTCTTACCTGGTAAAATAACAAGTTTAGTTTTTTTAGAGAATGTACAGGTGAAAAGCATAGATATTGGAGAATAGTACAGTACACCAATGGAATTTGGCAATTTAATTAGCGCCATGGTAATATCATTGAGGAAACATGCTATGTTTTAGGTTTCCATCAACAGTTATATTGCGGATAAGAATCTGCTTTTGTTGTCTGGCTTGTGAGACCAACTCGCTGTACTTCAGAACCTGTTTTAATCATGGGCAGCTCAGACCAGGAATTGAACCTGGGACATCAGTGGCACTGGCTCAGCCATTTTGGACCTTCTAAGACATTCGGCCACATTTTTTAAAAGTGCATTCTTAAATGGCTAAATATGAAAGTCGTTCAACCAGTAAGTGACATTAAAGTAATAATTCGCACATACAATGAATTTCAGCAACATACTACTGCACGTCTGAAATTAAGCATTGCTGCATTTGAACGAATGTGAGATAAATGCTAATAGGTTTTTATATGTATCATCAGCCATGGGTTATTCACTGCTAAATGAAGGCCTCCCCTTACACAAACACCATTTTTCGTGGTCTTGCAATTTCCATCCTCATCACTATCATCATCTTCTAGATTGTGCTGTCACTCATCTGTATCAACTTATTTGCGCTGTCTCATCTATACTTCTGCCTCTGCTGTCTTGCCTATTCTGTTTTGTCTGCGTTGTATTGCCACATTCTGTCTCAGACTAAAGTAAGAATTTGTGTTTATCTTGTGTAAATGTAAAAAAGCCCTTTTTAAGAGGACCGGTGCTGCCCTGATCCCAGCCACCTGAGTTTGATTCCTGGCCACGGCTAATATGGGTTGTGAGTGATAATCTGAATTGGTCATGATCCTCCTCCCGATACCAATCCCCACTGAGCAGTGTGAAATATAAGATAATCCCACAACCCTTACCGTGTGTGGAGGCTCTAATCCAGCAGTGGATTGACAAGGCTATGTTCAATTGATTCGCATGGCCATGAATTGATTCTTGTATTGCGAGTGTGGTAATTAATTTGAATCGCTGACTCATCACATGCCTGGTTGCGACTAGTTTCCCGTGCAGTGAATGCCTCCTGACCTCGTTTGTGTCGTGTCTCCTTCAGACGAATTTGACGAGGATGTCGACGTCCCATCGGAAAGCGATAGCGGCAAAGTGAAGAAGAAGAAATCGTCAAAGAAATCAAAAGAGAGGCCGGTCAAGACAAAGAAGAGGAAGAAAGAGGTGAGGATGGGAGTTGTGTGTGTTTAGAAGGTTTGCACTCCATTAAATAATTGTGTCGTGTCTGATGGGAGTCATGCCCGTTTGTGATATGGAACTTGGACGTAGTTCTTGCCACACTACCTCATGTGTCGTTCCGACCTTCATAGGTGCTCTCTAATAGCACTTGCCCCAACAGTCTGCAGCTTAATTATTTAATTAATAGATTACGAAACTGATTTTCACTTGGATTACTCGAGGTTTATGGAAATAGTTTGGAAGCATTTCCCACGTTTGCCACTGGATGGGAAGTGATGGTCAAGGATTTGTAACGTCCATAATCAGGTGCGTCTCGCTGGAATGTGTGGATTGTAGGTGTCTCAACTTTAGGACGCAGTATGCGAGTGTGGGCACCGTTTTAAAGGGTCTAATATTATTTACAAGTATCACACGTATCTATAGAAATTAATTGATACCATGTCTAAAATCTGGTCATTGCTGTGCTTATTTGTGCAATGGAATTTGATTGGTTCTTTATATGGTGAAGTTCGTTGACATGCAAAGCATGATGTGAGGACCGATCCAATGGTCTGTTGTCACAGTTCTGCTTGTGTTGTGGAATATTATTAGTTACATGACTACGAGTGACATACAATTCAATTGGTACTTTGTTAAAAACTTGGGAGTCGTGTTGCACTGATGTGTGTGCAATAATGATTTGTTAGTGATGTGCTTAAGCGCCTTATGTAATGATATTGGTGCAGTGGGTAAGTTAACTTTAGTTTAATTTCTGGTCCATAGCTTAAGATTGAGCTCTTCTCCAGTCACATAATTTCTCGGCCTTGTCATGGGCTGCCACATACTAGTTTAAAGATTCCTCGGTGGGAAAATACTTAAAATTAGCTTGTCAGCAATGTAGCCTTCATGCTGCGGTGATGTCACTCCAGTGATGTCTTTAACAAGGGGAGTGTTTGTGCATGTGGTATGATTGTATGTTGCAGTGTGTTTGTGTGTGCCTGTGTTTGTGGCCTGGCACAAGCGTCGTGGTGACGTCACCGCCACTTAGTGGCGAATGGCGGTTGTTGTGTTTGTGAGGGGAATGTAAGTGCAGTGGCTGGTACACTGCGCTACAAACCTGGTGATTTGAGTTAAATTCTCGTTCATAGCCAGCATTACTGATGAATATCTGAACCGGTCCTAGGCCTCTCCGAGGTTGACACAGCCTTAAATGTGTACCTGGTACGGTGTGTAAACATCGGCACCGGGGAGACCAAGGTGACTGGTGTGCTGGCCATACCCACCCGTGCACTGTGCCAGCCTTCATAGGTGCTCGCTGACAGCACTTGTGTCCCAACAGTCTGTGCCAGCCTTCATAGTCTGTGTGGGATTGGGTATGAGCAAGCGTGTGGTTGAAAAGGTTCACGAGGGGTTGGATGTTTGTGTTTGCGATGACACGTACAGGAGAGCGAGAGTGAGCTGACTGATGCAGAGGACGAGAACAAGACAGATAGCGAGGGCAGCGACTACGCGCCCAGCAAAAAGAAAAAGAAGAAAGCCAAGGAGAAGAAGGAGAAGAAGAACAGCAAGCGGCGTAAGGAGGAGGCGGCGGCGGCAGCGGCGGCTGCAGCAGAGGAAGAGGATGACGACGATGACGACGACGCACCACAGGTTGGTAAATTGCTCGGTCGATCTCCCGGCCAGTGAATCTGTTCCACTATCGTTTGGTCGGTCACTTACACACTCGGTTGACCATTCGGTCGATTGATAGATTATTCGGTTATTGTGAGTTTATTTTGGTCGATGTCTCGGTAGACTATGGCCAAATCACCAAGTTATTGCGTACTCCACCATCTGTCCGTGTGTTTACTTGGCACACCATCTTTTTGCGTGCTGTGATGACCATAATTGGTGTTTGCTGATGTGGCTTACCCAACATGTGACTCATGAGATCTTGGTTTTTGTCCATTTAGATATAATACGCTTTCTGTTTGTTAATTAGAATGTTTGTCATATCCGTTTATATTTCCGTATCTTCATTGGTCTGTTCATCATTCGTTTCTTCACTAAATTCAGCAAGTAGATGAATATTTGTGTGACCATGATTTTCCTCCTATCTAAAACTTTCCTGTATCCAGCATTGCCCGCATCTGACGTTCAATTTGACCACCATACACAAACAGGTTGTTATAGGCTGCTGCAGGGCTCCTTTGTTGTGGGCAGCAGAGGGCAATGCATCTAAACCCATTGTTCCACTACGTCTATGCCTCCATATTTTTATGCTCCCTGCATTCACGAACCAGCATTCACTAGTGTGATCAAGTGCGGTCAAATAACTCCGTGATCTGCACGGCTTTAAGGGAGGCCCTCATCTAGCAGTGGATTGACAAAAGGGCTGTTAAGATGTGTGCATTGTTTAATACTACCTTCTGTTCTCTGTAGAAAAACGCTGCCCAGATGCTTGGAGACTGGGGCTTCTCAGACGTGGACCACGTGTACACAGAGGATGACTACCGCACGCTGACAAACTACAAGGCCTTCAGCCAGTTTGTACGGTGAGTTCAACACTCAGCCCATTAATGGAGCCTCCTGTTTTCTTGTTAGGGAATAGAATCGTATAAAATGAAATGTATGTGTGGAAATGGGCAAAGAGCTCGCAAACGTATACACACATCAGGTGTGCATAGCCAGAACTGGAGTCAAATACAATTACAGTAAAACCTTGGATTGCGAGTAACTTGGTCTGCGAGAGTTTTGCAAGACTAGCACATTTTAAAAATAAATATTAATTTGATAAACGAGTGAGGTCTGTAGTACGTACAGTATACGCTTTGTCTGCAGAGCGTCACGTGATCACAACTGAGCCAATAGTTCTCTCTCTCTCGCTGCGGGATTGTGGGTAATCGTCTCCCATGCTCGGTCTCAGTCGGCGTGCCTCACTCGTATAGTCAACATCTGTGCGAGCGTATACTGTTTACTATAGTGTTGTGACCACGAGTGTGCGTAAAGCATTTTATTTATTTTGTGTCCAAGTGTAGTGACTGTTCTTTAGTAACTGTTTCTGCAAGCGAAAGTCGTCCTACACAATTCCCTCCTCTCGTCTCCCTCACACCAGCCACGATTAAATTGAATTAATACATTTTATTACTTTATATTAAATTTCAATAATAAAAAATATAAAACGGTATTTTGTATTAATCATTTTTATATGAATACAGTATTTTTGGGTTGTGGAACGAATCATCTGAGTTTCCATTATTTTTTATGGGGAAATTCGCTTTGATATATGAATGCTTTGGATTACAAACACGTTTCCGGAATGAATTATGCTCACAATCCAAGGTTTTCCTGTACAAACCTGTCATGAATATGCTACATTCCTCTTGATATGCACAGTCTTTTGTTAAGGCGCTCTTCTTACACCTCCAACTCAGCTTATATATAAGCTCCTAGCTTGGCAGTGTCTCATTCTTCACCTGAAGACGGCTGCTTGCGTTGTAGCCGAAACGTCGTGAGAATTATTTTATTATGTTTTATTTTTATTATTTTATTACTTCCCTTCTACGTGACTTTACCGAAAAAACCAAGAAGATAAACCTGTCATCCTTACTGAATTGCAACCGCAATGTAAAAGTATTTTCGGCTAACGATGGTGTATTGTAATTATAATTCACCCCAGGTGTGACTTTGGTCACACTTAAGTAAGGGCAGTGGTATGCAGCACAATTTTTGATAAATATAAACACCTTTTTGTGCTGCCGGGGGGATTATTAGAAGTGAGCTGGAAACACTGAGATTCTACTTTTGAGGTGTACAAATATTTGTTTAGCATAGCAATACATATAATCGGGGCTGCCTTTGCACACCAAACCTGTCATGGGCATTGCTACTAGAGTTTCAGTCTTTGGGGATTCAGTTATTTTTTCCTCTAAAACAATTTTTTAGTTTATATAAAAGGGAAATTTGTGAATATGTGTCTGTTCGAAATGTTTAGCATACTTCCCGACATGCAACAAACTTGAAATTTGGCATGTGGGTAGCTTCCAGACTGTACACAATGCAAAAAGTATAAAAGTAGACTTGTATTTTGGAGGGGGGGGGGCGCAATAATGCATATAATATTTTTCACGGCAAGTGAGCGGAGACGTCACATCTGTGATGTCACCCGCATGCGGCAGCGTTACGCAGTGTGCCTGCTGACGTCACGCATCCCCCCCCTCCAACCCTCCGCGTAGGCTGTGTATTAATCCAAGACAAGAATACAAGTCCCGGGCGAAGCGGGTAGTAAAGCTAGTAGAAAATATTTTCACGTCATGGTCATGTGACTTTTCAGTGCTTCTATAGTGCCCTCTAGTGGCAGAGCAAACTAGATGGGAGAGGACATTGTCTGACAATTACAGAACTGAAAAATATTTAACGCGCAAAATTCAGAATCAGAATCTTTATTATAATGGAGAAATTGGCTGAGCTATAAAGTTCTTTTTCACAGATGTCCAGCTGCTTGGTGAGATGTTGCCTCACAAAAAAATATAATACCTCATAGCCTTGAGCAGTAGGGCAAATTGATTTGGCACTGGTTTTTATCACAAAGTTTTGCCCGAATCTTGCTGTTACTCGGTTTTCACCAATTCGCCTGGTTCTTTTCTCGGGCAAGTACCTAATAGCAACACAAATTTCAACTGAAGTGAAATTCATTTTGGATTAACTTTACGAGAGTTGTCACCCCCCTTTGCAGATAGACCGAGCTAATGCACAAACACTTTAAACTTTTTATTTAACAACTGATATGAACATGTCGATTGGGTATTTTCAACCTGTTGTGTAATTTTTGCTGCCTGTTGGTCCTTCATTTTATTCTCTCCGTTTTTCTGCATTTGCCTGCCTTATATTTTGGCTCCTTATAGCTCCTTCAGATTATGCGTCTTCCTGCGTATCATGGTTCTGTTTGTTTTTCTCTGTTTGCAAAACGAACATCGCTAATTCCATGGCTACTTTTCTCTTTCTTGCCACACCAGGCCTATGATAGCGGAAAAGAATCCCAAGATCCCCGTGTCGAAGATGATGACCGTGCTTGGAGCTAAGTGGCGTGAGTTTGGCGCCAACAGCCCCTTCAAGGGCTCCACGGTAACCGCCGCTGCCATGGCGACGGTTCCCAGGGACCCAGCTGCGCCACCCTCCGTCTCCATGCCCACTATCGCCCCGGCAACCGTCACCACGGAGACGACGCCAGTCACAAGCGCCACCACCTCCACTGAGGAAGCAGTAGTAGCAGCACCCGCTGCGACACCGGCACCACTTGTGCCACTGAGGAAGGCCAAGACCAAAGAGGGAAAAGGTCAGGGCAAGGGGTGCAAGGGTGGGGGGATAAATCACAGTTGCTGTGCACAGGCCCATAGAGACAAAAACAATCCGTCTCGTCTTCGGCTTGTGTGGAGGAATTGAGGAGCAAAGTCTGTGGGAAAAATAATGTGTTAAGTGATAGAAGAGTGATAAAGAGGTATATGAACGCTGATGAGCGAGCAAATGGACTGAATCAGTGATGCTGGATGAATATCGGGGGGCGGGGTTCGGAGGGATTGGCAGCATTGCCAACTCAACGATTTTGTCGCTAGATCTTTCGTGGCCTTTTGGTTTTCAAAGCGATGAGCAACAGTCTCTCGACTTTCTGGGAAAAAGGACATTGTGCAGACTTAGGAGAGATTCCAGGTGTGTGTATTCAGGCTCCAGTGTGGTTACTGTCTGAAATATTGGGAATTTTTTGGTGATATTTTTTACAACTTTAGAATGTCTACTTCATGACTTTTTGAGATTCGTTTGGCAACTTCCCGCTTGATGGGGAGAAGTTAGTTTGATCGTCTTGCCTACGTCAAAGCTCGCCACTCAGGTGTATAAAATTACCTTCTATAAAGTATAGTTTTGAGACAGAGGCTAAATGTGGCATCTTTGTTCGAGTGTGTGCATGCATGTATGGGTCTGGAGTTGCGTGTACACTTGTCCACATGCATGTGTTACCGTGCGTGGGCTGGCCTTCATAGGTGCTCACTAACAGCACTTGCTCCAACAGTCTGAAGGCTATATGGGGGATTTTTGTCTTTGTTTGTCCATACAAGTATGTTTACATGCACACAGAGTTCGGCAACCCATGTTCAATTCCCACTTGCGACCAACTTTTGTGACAAATATATAAACATTTCTGGGCCTCCCTATTTGTCTTGGTCTCAAAGTACCTATTGCGTTGTCTAAACATTAACATTGGAGAGACAAAGGTGGCCAGGCACGGTGTTGCCCACCCACCTCCCCCCCCTTGTGTCCTCTTTAGACCTTAATTGGTGCTTGCAAACAGCACTTGCTTAAAAAATGTGTTAAACTCTATAAGGGGGATCTTTGTGTGTACGTAAATTAGTGTGCCCGTGCTTTTTTGCGTATTTGTGTGTTCTCGAGTTTTGGCGGCCTGTGTACAGATTCTACTGACTATTATATGTAGGGTATGTAGGCGTATATGCCTACAAAATAAAAACATTTTGGGGGGGGGGGTGGGAGTCGAACATTTTGTAAACCTGTGGGATCAACTTTTTACCCCCACATCGGGGGGTGGGTCCACTTTCTATAACTTTTTGATTCAAGCCTTCTGAAAGGATTTCAATATAGTTAACGGACAAACGGAACGCCGCGATTTTATAATAGACGTGTTCCCGTATGCGTTGGTGCATTGTATGCCTATTGTGTGCGTGCACACTCAAGTATGCGCGCTTGTGCGTATGTTGCCCACAGGCCCCAATGCGCGCCGACGAACTAAGAGCGCACGTGTGGGCGAGGGAGCCAAAAAGAAGGTCGTGACGCCGGCCACCAAGGCCAGTAAAAAGCTGGCGCCACTCAAAATCAAACTGGGTGCCTTCACCAGCAAGCGCAAGAAGGGCTCCTCAGTGAGTAACATGGTCCATACTCGATCGCTCACTTGTCTACCAGTCAACGTGCTGATCTGCTTGTTCACTCATGCAAAGCCCACCCACCTATTGTCTATGCACTCATCAGCTTGTCTACTCACTCGCCCACTGCTTGTCCATTCGTAATTGTTTTTTGTCCTGCTACTTGTCCACCCGCTCATCTTCTTGTCCACTTCCTCGCCTGCTCGCCCAACCACAATCCAGGCATATCCGTTGTGTGCTCAATCGCTCGCTTTTCATCATTGTCATCAGCGGTTATCTGTCCACTGCTGGATGAAAAGCCACCCCGATCTATTGGTCCTAGTTTGATAAGCGTCTATTGTCCGCTGCCGTGTACGTGTGCGTGCTTTGCGTTTTCTTGCGCATGCGTTGAAGAGCGAGGAGGAAGAATTTGAGGAGGAGGAGTTTGAGGACTTTGACGAGTCGAGCATCAACAGCTCATCGGTGCGGTCCGACAGCTCGCAGGGGAAGGTTCGCAAAGCCAAGAAGAGAGTAAAGATGGTCAAAAAGAAAAGAAAGGGTATGGGGCCCATGTGTGTGTGCGCTTTGGTGTGGTTTGTGCCGAGGGGGGAGTAATTGTGTGGTTGCATTGGGTGGCGATAGTTTGCATGCTTGTGTTGCTTGTTTGGATGTCTTGCCGTGGTTATGTTGATGTGGTTCTTATTAGTGCGCGTGTTTACATGGTTGTGTTTTTGTGGCACGTGGCTTGTTGGTGGAAGTTTTGTCCGTCGTCGTGGTTGAGTTATGGAATTTCGCAGGGTCACACTTTTTAAATTGTGGTCTCTAAAAGTATCCGGGCAAATCCCCAGTGGCTTTTGATTAACGTGCCAAGCCCTGCTGATCAGTGTCAGATTATTTGGAACTTGTCCAGGATTTATCTTGCTTAAACAAATGCGTTTGGGAAACACTGGTCCAGAAGGGCAATTTATGAACAGATCAGAATTCCGAAAAAAATTTTTGGAGGTTTAACAGGCCCTATTTTTACTGATGTTGTGTTTGTCGTCGTGGTTCTTGATTTATTATTGATGTCATCATTTGTAATTCTCCTCTTGTGTATGTTTCCCCCCCCCCCCCTTCCATGTCGTGCTGCAGTGGGGGATGATGAAGACGGCTATGAGACGGACCACCAGGACTACTGCGAGGTGTGCCAGCAGGGCGGCGAGATCATCCTGTGCGACACGTGCCCGCGCGCGTACCACCTCGTGTGCCTCGACCCCGAGCTGGAGAAGGCGCCCGAGGGAACTTGGAGCTGCCCGCACTGCGTAACGCGCGCACTCACACGCGGCGGAGACGTGTGTACACGCACTCATGTGTACACTCGCGTACGCGTGTACACATGCACACGCTCATGCACGCACGGATGCACAATAATGCATATACGTACACACTTTTTTTTGTCACGGTTATTCCTGCAGCTTGTATATTCACCGTTAAATACTACGGGTATCTTGCTGTACAGCAAACTTTAAAATAGACCTTTGACGTAATTTGAAATGAGTACCATTACCTGCTGGTGTTGTGGACCAAATTTGCCAAAATCTAAAAGTTACACCCCAAATTACTCAATTGGGATTACACATAGAAACCCCCAACTGTTTCTGTGAAACAAAGTAGCTTCCTTCGTGATAGCCTCATGTATAAGAATGGCGTGAATTTCACGTAATAAGTTTATTCTCACATTGTCATCTCTGTCAGCATTATTTTCCTGGGTACTTGTTGCTGAGTGCAGAGTAACTTCTCATGTGCAAGCGCTCATGTGCATGTACACATGAACACGCACGAGCATGTGCACACACGTGTACACCCGAACGTATGCATGCATGCGTACACACGTGTTGGTGAATATGTATAAATGGGCAAACACACAAGACAGATCCCTTGTATACCCACAATAAGCGGTTTAGGGAAAGTGCTGTTAGCAAGCACCAGTGGGGGCCAACATGGTACACGAGGGGAGGTGTGGCTAATACCACCCCCGGCCACCTCGCTTGCTCCAGTGGTGATGTTTACACGCTGAGTTGACCGAGGGGAGATCCAGGACCAGTTCAGATTTGTCACTGACATTAACCATAAGCGGGAATCGAACGCTGGTCTCCGGGTTCAGAGTGCAGTGCGTTAACCATTGCATCACCATTCCCTATATGTACGCGCACACACAGTGCCACACACTCGGGGTCATTGTTTCATAGGCAAAGAGCCAGAGACGCAACGGGGGAGAGAGTCGATCACCTTCACTTGTTCACCTGCCTTTTGTCCCCGGTTACTCCCCCAGGAGAAGGAGGGCATCCAGTGGGAGGCAAAGGAGGAGGGTGACGAGGAGGACGAAGAGGTAGTGGGTGGAGAGGAGGAGGAGGACGACCACATGGAGTTCTGCCGCGTGTGCAAGGATGGCGGGGAACTGTTGTGCTGCGATACGTGCCCCTCGTCGTACCACATCCATTGCCTCAACCCTCCACTCCCCGAGATACCCAACGGGGAGTGGCTCTGCCCACGCTGCACGGTGAGGGGCTCCCTGGGCAGTGGGCACAAACAGGGCCAGTGGGCAACACGTGGAGCTAGTGGGAACACCCGTTGCGAGCTGTTGGGAGAGTGGTCGCACGGGTGGGGCATAATGGTCTAGTGGTCGGCTGAGCTTTGTTGGTGGGTGGGGACAGTTTTGTGGGTACATGGGCTCTGGGGAGAGGGTGGGAACATGGGTTGGCTGGTGGGAGGGTGTGCACAGGTTGTTCGGCACATGTGGGCTCGCTGGTGGGTGGGCATGGTTTGGCTGGTGGTGGAAGGGGTGTAGGGACTTTGCATCTTGACCCTGATGTTGATGTCTAATTGTTTGCACTCACTAGAGTTTCCACACACCACTGACTTCAGTCATCGGCATCATCTTCCCCTGTGCTCTCCCACACTCCTGCCCACCATTACAGTGCCCCCCAGTGGAGGGAAAGGTTCAGAAAATCTTGCACTGGAAGTGGGGGGTGGCCCCCCCTTCAACACCCGTGGCGAGACCAGCGGATGCCCCTCCGGACGCGCCAGACCCCAAGCCGCTGGAGGGGAGACCGGAGCGCGAGTTCTTCGTGAAGTGGAGCAATCTCTCCTACTGGCACTGCTGCTGGATCACAGAGCTGCAGGTGTGAGGCCAGCCTTGTCGTCCCCCAGCATTCTGTCCATTTGTTTCTGTCCATCTGTTTGTTTTACATTTGTCCATTTGTTAGCTCATTCTGCTGTATGTCTGGTTATGTTTTTGTCGATCCCTTTATCTGTTTATCATTCTGTTAGTTTCTCTTTATCTAGTCTGTGATGCCTTTTCGTTTGTTTATCTCTGTCCATCTGTACACATGTATTTACCTCTGACCCATCCCTCTGTTTATCTGTCTGTTGGTATTTCGGTCCGTTCATTTCTCTGTTTGCTCACATATGTCTGCTTGTTTACTCGCCCATCCTTCTGTCCTTTTACCTTGTTACATCCAATCTTTCCATTTGCTTATTGCTGTCTGTGTCTTTCTATATTTTGGTTACCACTGTCCGTCAATCCCTTTTTACTTTCGTCTCCCTGTCTTCCATCCGTTTTTGTCTGTTGATCTTTCGTCCGTCTGTGCTTAATGACCCGTCTGTCCAACACTCTCAAACAAACCCGCACCCCCGTGCCACAGTTGGAGATCTACCACCCGGTGATGTACCGCACGTACCAGCGCAAAACCGACATGGACGACCCTCCGGCATTTGACTATGGCTCGGGCGAAGAAGAAGGGAAGGTGGAGCGGCGGCGCAAGAGCAAAGACCCCAAGTTCGCCGAGATGGAGGAGAGGTTCTACCGCTTTGGCATCAAGCCCGAGTGGCTCATCATCCACCGCATCATAAATCACAGGTGATGACTGTGCACGCGTCCGTAATGGAGCACTGTGGAGGTGCATGTTGGTGGTTACGCGCACATTTTAGCTGTTTAAATGTGCTGGGCTGTGCAGATGCCATTTCCTGGCCTGGTATGGATGCAATACAGAAAGTGGGCTTATCTTTGTGGGGATTGAGTGTAACCCTCCTCTCGCACGTTTGGGATTTCTCCTGGGACTCTGGTTTCCTCCCAGCGTAAATAAATACTCCTCAATGGGAGTTGGCCAAACATCCCAATATAGGGCCACAGAGCTTGGGCAATCGGCACCCATTCTGGCTGCCTTTCCTGCCTGTCAGTGGTTGACTGTGAATTTTGGGTCTTTTTGAAAACTGTGTTTTAAACTGTGCTCTACCGGTACAATGCCGTTTTTGGTGGGTCGCAAAAGAGCACCTGAGACTTTTGTAAATTTTTAAATGAGTATTCTTTGCAGTCACGGAGGTACAGAAAAACACAACACAAGCCACCGGTGATGTGTGGCTTGGCACATTTTGCAGGCTGCCCCAAAGTTGATGTTTGCGTCTAAATTGCAGGAACACACTTTAAGCTACTGCAGCGCAATTATTGTTTATTTGTTAAAGTGTAAAGGTTCAAATGTGTGTTTTTTATCAACCCCTACCGTTTTCACCTTCCATTCAGTATCGACAAGAAGGGCAACATCAGCTACCTGATCAAGTGGCGTGACCTTCTGTATGACCAGTCAACCTGGGAGAGCGATGACTTGGACATCCTCGATTATGATCTCCATCGCACCTCCTACTGGACGCACAGGTGCGGAGGGCTCTCACCCGCGTGTGGGTGATCATCGTTATTACTCGAGTTTCTGTTGCCGTTCCACGTCTTTTGTCTCCCCAACATTGTCTCGTCTTGCGCCGGCGACATATCTCTGCTTGGTATGCAGGAGGGTTTGGGTTCGATCCAGTCCCTTGACGCCTGTTGTATATTTCGAGTTTGCATATTCTCCCTGTGGTCGTGTGGCTTTTTCTCCGGTTCTTCTGGTTTTCCCCTCCACATTTAGAAGCATGCGTTTCAATTAGAAAGCTGCTATAAATTTTCACTTGATAAGCTGCTTTGTTGAGCTATAATTTGTGGCCAGGTTACTTCTGAAAGAGCTAATAGCTTCGTGGGCTTTATCTGATGAATACAAATAGTTACGTTTTTAGTTGAATCTTTATATCCATTTTCCGTGATTGTGAAGATGTCATAATGCGTGGTGTCATCTTGCGACGTCACGCACCTTGTGACATAATTGCATTCATAGCTTGCGTGGCGCATAAGGTAACGTTATCGTTGTTACCGTCAGCCTGTAAACTTCCCACTCCTGGGCGAAGGCCTGCCCTATTCAGATTCCTCTTTTTTCCCCAGTTGCTCCTCTCTAGAAGTTGCCTACAAACTTTGGCTGCTACCATTTTTTCACCTCCTCTCGATCTCCAACTCCGTAGTCTGTTTGTCACTCATGACTTCTCATGACCCCTTCCTTCCCCATTTTACGCTTTATTTCCTTTGAGTTGACAACAACCGCATCAGTTACCCTCGACCTTTCCTTGTTTCTTAATTCCTTAACCCATCTCTGGAACTTGCATTGTTTTCGTTAATTAAATACTTCTGAGGACAAAACGCACGTTCTTTGTGAAGTGTTAGTGTCCGTGCATGTGCGTGATTTTAACTTCCACCTTTTTTATGCGTGATTTTGTCGTGCAGAGAGATGATGATGGGCGAGCCGGGCAAGTGTCCCAAGAAGCTCAAGAAGACCAAGAAGTTGCTGAAGGAGAGCAACAAGTCTCCAAAACCTCCAGACACCCCTATCGTTGATGTAAGTTTCCAGTACACAGCCAGGGGCTCTCATGGAAATTTACCCGAGCTGCTGGTAGATTGCAGCAGGTATCACGTCACTAGTAGCCAAGGTGGAGAGTTACTACAGCCGTAGCGAGCACCTTTAGCTAATGGCACTTTCCCCCAATGAGCGCTCTGTGTTAAAAGACTACAGGGGTTTCTTAGTGCAGTGTGTTTTAATGCCGTGTCAGGTGTGTTAGTCTGTGTGAGCGTCTTTTTGTTTGTTTCACGTGCCTGCCTTGCCTTGTGTGTTCATGTTTGTGCGTAATGTGTGTCCCTGTGCGTCTGCATTCGTTTGAGTGTTAGTGTGTTAACGTGTTAGTGCTTGTCTGAACTGTCCGTATGGCTATACGAACAAGATAATTGCCTCTTGTCTTTGCTCACTACCGCCACCCTCCCTCTCCATTCCTCACAGCCGACGATCAAGTTTGAGAAGCAGCCCGACTATGTGGAGGTGACGGGAGGGCAGCTGCACCCCTACCAGCTGGAGGGGCTCAACTGGCTGCGCTTTTCCTGGGCCCAGGGCACTCACACAATCCTTGCGGATGAGATGGGGCTCGGCAAGACTGTGCAGACTATAGTCTTCCTCTACTCGCTCTACAAAGAGGTGGGAGTCGCCGTGACGTGGAGTCGTCGGCGGTTGTGCTTCGTACACAATTGCCCATAACACACGTTCATTCACATGCTTCAGCATGACAACGACAGCCGCCTAGGTCATGGCCATGTCGCCACATCGCCTGTGTGAGGTGAGATTTACGGTAAAGATGTGTTAGCCCTCTCAAAAAAGTTATACGTACATCACGGATCTTGTTGGTGACGGGCTGGGGCAATGGTAACACTTGAGCCTCGCAGCAAGGAGGGCCTTGTTTCGATTTCTGACTTGGACACTTTTCTGTTTTAAGTTTGGGTTCTCACTGTTCTGCATGGGTTTTCGTGTTCTCCGGTTTCCTCCCAAGGCAAAAAAAAGCCAGCACATTCAAACTAATTTTTTTATTTTACCAGGTAAGAAAGGCCCACTGAGCTTTACAGCTCTTTTTCATAAGCAACCTGATCACAAGTTAGTGGCTTATCATCTGGGAATTTATAGCAGCCAAATGCTCTTGAACACATGTTTCTAAACGTGGAGGGACAAACCGGAGGACCCGGAGAAAAATCTACGGTGAGAACACGCAAACTCCAAATATACAGCAGGCATCAGGGTCGGGAGCGAACCCACGATCTGTATACCAGGCGAGGTGGTAAACATCTCGCCACCGTGGCGCCCAATGCAACTGGTTTTAGCCAAAACATCCCAGTGCCAAGAAATGATCTTGAGGTGTCTTAATTAGTTTTACACATAGCAGGGACCACTCTTACATCACTGGTAAGAAAAGGAGGGTGCTAGGAAAACATTGCGTTGACCATGCCGGTGTCTATCTCTGCAGGGCCACTCAAAGGGCCCGTACCTGGTCAGCGCGCCGCTCTCCACCATCATCAACTGGGAGCGTGAGTTTGAGATGTGGGCGCCTGACTTCTACGTGGTGACGTACACGGGCGACAAGGACAGCCGCGCCGTCATCCGCGAGAATGAGTTCTCGTTTGACGACAGCGCCATTCGCGGTGGCAAGAAGGCCTCCAAGATGAGGGTGAGTGCGTGCCCGCCCGCCCGTGTACGATTGTGTATGTGTGGGGAGCGTTAGTGTTGTGGTTATAACGCGCTGCTGTACGAACCTCGTGCCCTGTGGTTCCCGTTTACTGCCAACATTTGTAGCGATTTTCTCTACAGGTACTGGGCCTCCCCTAGGTCGACTTGGCTATAAATTAGTAGCTTGTGTTGTGTGCATACATCAGCACGGCGGAAATAATGGCATGTGGGTCTGGTGTCGGCCACATCATGTCCGCTATTTCGGCCTTAATTGGTGCTCGCTAACACTGCTGTGGTCCTGGCAGCCTGTGTAGGTTGCAAAACGAGTACTGTAGTGTATGTACAGTATACGCTTTGTCTGCAGAGCGTCACTTGATCACAACTGAGCCAATGGTTCTTCTCTCTCTCGCTGCGGGATTGTGGGTAATCGTCTCCCATGCTCGGTCTCAGTCGGCGTGCCTCACTCGTATAGTCAACATTCGTGCGAGCGTATACTGTTTACTATAGTGTTGTGACCACGTGTGTGTGCGTAAAGCATTTTATTTATTTTGTGTCCAAGTGGAGTGACTGTTCTTTAGTAACTGTACTGCAAGTGAAAGTCGTCCTCCACAATACCCCTCCTCTCCTCTCTCTCGTCTCTCTCACATTAGCCACGATTAAATTTAATTAATAAATTGGATTACTTCATATTAAATTTAAATAATAAAAATCTAAAAAGGTATTTTTTATTAATAATTTTTATATGAATACAGTATTTTTGGGTTGTGGAACGAATCATCTGAGTTTCCATTATTTCTTATGGGGAAATTCGCTTTGATATACGAGTGCTTTGGATTACAAACACGTTTCTGGAACGAATTATGCTCACAATCCAAGGTTTCACTGTAGTCTATTGGCAGCTTAGCAGAATTAGTCATTGACACACTGGGTTTGCCTAAAAGGCTTTTGGCCTTCAAGCAAAGACTGGATTCATTCCTCGATGAGAATCGACTCTTGCACTCGGGGCTTGCGCGTCGAACCATGCGAGGGAGGAACGGTTTCTTTCGAGTCGTATCGCTTCTGTGTGTAGTTGGATCGTGTGTACCCTGCAGCCAACAGAGACCATAAAATCGCCACACTTCGGAGAGCCCAGTTTAATCGTAGGAGGTTGAAAGCGCAGCGTCTCAGCTGGTGCTGGCTCAGTGTCTGACTGACATGGCCATTATGAATCTCCTTAGTCTCCTGGTCAACTATTGTGGCTTTATTTGTCTTCATCACTTAACCTTTTGACAGTATTGGGGATGATTTCAGTTTTGCTGTTTTTCCAGAAACTTCCTCAATGATTTGAAAGAGTCCTTTTCAGGAGGATGCTGTTTGGGAAGTTTGTCAAGTGCTGGTTGAGTTGTTCGTTTCTTAAGGGAGGGAATGGGAGAGCCCGGGGAAAAAAACCCACGCACACGAGAAGAGAATACTCAAAGATCCCGCACATGTTGCCCCAACAACCTTCTCGTTGCGTGCGGGACTCATGAAAAGTAGTTTTCAGATACAAATATGTTAACTTTTTTTGGTCCCACAGCGAAGTTAATGTTATCGACATCCCCATTTCCGTGCTCTTGAGGTTTTTTTACTAAAATCCACCATCGTAAGGGTTGTGTTGCCACAAGTTATCACAACTTCACGTAAAACTTTGTGGTGCATGACACGGAGGTTTCTTAAGTCTTTGCATTGTCAGTGTCGCGTTTATATTCTGTGTGTACTTTTGCTCACGTCGTTTGTGTAGCTATTGTGTGTTGTATGTATTAATTTTGTTGCTCGTTGATTTGTTGATCATTATTGTCTATTCTCATTGTGGTGTCGTTTTTGTTATCCTTTGCATTGTCTTGATGGTCGGATTACTTTGTCATCACATCCCATTGTGTTGTCTGCTAGTGTTTTTTTCCTGGTAATATATTGTTGGCAATGTAATGTGTCATTGTTACATGTTCTTAGTGTTACGAGGATATTGTTTTCGCAATCATGTTTGCAAGTTTTCTTGTTACTGCCATGTTCTGATTTGTTTATTGTTGTGGTGTTGCTGTTCATTGCCCGTTTCGTTGTTGGGTTGTGGTGTTCCGATTGTAACGGTGATGGTGCATGTTGTGGTGGGGATGACATTGTGGTGGTATGGTTGTTGTGATATGGTTGTTGTGGTTGTTGTTGTGGTCGTGGTGGAGAGCAGAAGGACGCAATGGTGAAGTTCCACGTACTGCTCACATCGTATGAGCTGATCACCATCGACCAGGCTGTGCTGGGCTCCATCGACTGGGCCTGCCTTGTGGTTGATGAGGCCCACAGGCTCAAGAACAACCAGTCCAAGGTGAACTAGCTCACCTACTCACTCTCATCCACTTGCTCAACCAATTACCCACTTGCTTGCCCAAGCACTCAAATCTCTTATTCAACCAATCACACCCATCTGCCTGCCTGTGTCCTCATTCCCCTTCTCTTGTGCCATTTCAGTTTTTCAGAATCCTCAATGGCTATAAGATCGACACGAAGCTCCTACTCACAGGGACACCTCTGCAGAACAACCTCGAGGAACTGTTCCACCTCCTCAACTTCCTCACATCCGACCGATTCAAGTACGTGTCGGTCCTCGTATCGGTCCTCGTCTTGCCCCTCTTTTTGCCAAATCTTAAGTAAATTGGAGCAGCGATGGGAAAGTGTCTGACGCTGAGAGCAATGAGTAGCCTTGGTGAAGCTGTCTTCGTTCTGTGCACTGGCACACTGAAAACACATCATCGTCAAGCCTTGAATTTCTACCTAGAACTAGCTTGTTCCGTTAGCCTAACGGTGAACACGTGCGTGTACTCCCCATTGGTTAAATCCACTGCTGGATAAGGGCCTCTCCATGTCATGTGGGTCGCGTGGGCTACTTCACCACGCTGGCGACCTGCCGATCAATTTAACTGTGGAGTACCCATCGAATTCGTATCAATCGTAACAAATTTATTCTATGATCCATCATTTGAGCCCATTCCGTGTAACTGTCCGAAACGAAACGTGTTTGTAAACTGTACGTGCCGTCGTTTCGTGCAGCAACCTGGAGGGCTTCCTGGAGGAGTTTGCTGACATCTCCAAGGAGGATCAGATTAAGAAGCTGCACGACCTCCTGGGGCCCCACATGCTGCGGCGTCTCAAGGCCGACGTCTTCAAGAACATGCCCTCCAAGACGGAGCTCATCGTGCGCGTCGAGCTCAGCCCCATGCAGAAGTGAGCGTCGACGGCACCGGAGGGTTTCCGCTATCGAAAATGCTCCCCCCTCTAGTACCCGATTCGTGCGGCTATGACACTCGCAATTACAGACCTGGGTTACTCTTGACATTGGACTTTGAGTCCCATCAGGCCATTTGGATGTGATAAGTCTCTTGTGGCTCTATCTCATAGTGGGCTTGTAGGTTCCAAACCCCTGACCTCAATGGCACTGAATGTATCTCTGACGGTCACCATTAACTTAATGCGCACCAAATATTACTGTCAAATATAATTTGGCTTGTCATTTCAATTTGGGCGAATTCTAGAGAATTAAAACATATACCGGTAAGTTTGATTGGCACGCTCTACAACAACACTTTTTGCAAAGCTTTTACAATATTTTCCAGAGTTACTTTTCTTTTCCTTGAACAAAGTTGCTGAGCACGGGCCCAAAACATTAATCATCCAGCAACAAACGGCATGATCAAAGTTGTACTGGATAAGAGTTATCACGTGTCCTGAATTGAGCCAGGTTGTTGTGTAAGAGTTTGGCAAGATATATGATGGGAGTGATTTCCAAATTCGAACAGTGGGTGGGGTGAAACAGTAAGAGGCATGTTGTGACTTGCAGTGTATATATTTTGAACTTCTTTTGCACCGTACGCAACCAAGTGTGCTAATCGAAGGTGCAGCGTGTGGTGATTGAGTGAGTGTAATGACCTGCAGTGTGGCGGTAGAACACAGGTGTCGGTGAGACGAAACGGAGTCCCTTATGTATGTGTGTGTTACGCTATGGTGCAATCTCAGGAAATACTACAAATTCATTCTCACGCGCAACTTCGAGGCACTGAAGTCCAAGGGTGGTGGCAACCAGGTGTCGCTCATCAACATCATGATGGACTTGAAGAAGTGCTGCAACCACCCCTACCTCTTCCCGGTCGCAGCCATGGTAACCACCTCGTTGATTCGCTCTTCCCTACATGCACATGTGCACGTGTAAATACGTACGGATGCATGTGCCAGTTCACACGACACATACACGCACTCGCACACAGATATACCCATGTAACCATAACGTCTGCCATTCAACCACTTAAGTGGAGGTGACCTCACAATGATTTGGGCTATGCGAGGCACACTCATAAAGGCGTTCTGTATGTATAACTGTTTTCGCACCGTATGTAGCCAATCATGCTCATCGGATTTGTGGGGCAGGGACAACAAACTAAACACAAGTAGTTCTAAAGAAATTATTTTTAATCTAGATGTAAAGTGCATACCTCCAGTGGCTTCCTAATATCAGAAGGAAGAGCGTTCCAGACAGTCGCAGAAGCGCATCTGAAAGCGCGATGCAGTTTGTGACCGTGTTTGTACGATGGCTTGCCAAAAGCTGATGGCTTGCCAAAAGCTGCTTCGTGGAGCAAAATGCACACGTGCACACACTCCCACGTAAACACATATGTTGGGTTATGGGGTTCCGTGGAAATGCATGAAACTCACACCCCAAATCATGCATTTTAACATTCTCAGTTTTTAATTGTGAACACCTAAACACCGATTTAAAATGCTGAAAACCAAAATCAGACACCGTTGAGGATTCTCGGACTCCTTTGTCAATGTTGAAGACTCGCAGACCCAAACTAAGGCACACCGGGTCGGAGTGTCAAGGCTGAGATGACGCACGCGTATGTGCTCTGCTAATCGTGCCGTGTGCTGTCTCGCCATCCCCCACGTGCAGGAGGCACCGAAGCTGCCGAACGGCGTCTATGACGGAACATCGCTGGTGCGCGCCGCTGGCAAGCTCATGCTGCTGCAGACGATGCTGCGCAAACTAAAAAATCAGGGCCACAGAGTGCTCATCTTTTCCCAGGTCAATTGCCGCTCATCTCTACTTTGAGCCGCGTCCTGTCTTATTTACGGAGGCACTGTGCCCATCTTCTCCCAGGTTCATTGCCATGCCCGCCTTCTGTCGGCCTGCTGTCAATCATCTCCAGTCATCAGTAATCGCCGGCCACCACCAGTCACCAGTCAATTGCAGTTATGAGTCATTTCCACCCACAATCTCACAGCTATCCACCACTACAAGTCACTGTCGGTCACTACGAGGTATTACAGTCACCACCAGCCATAGCCACTCCATGTTCCTCTGACTATGCTCCTCCTTTTGTCTGTTCAATCAAACTTAAGTCTTCTTGGTTCTTTCGGTAAAGTCACGTAGAAGGGAAGTGGTTTATTATGTTTTATTTTTATTATTTTATTACTTCCCTTCTACGTGACTTTACCGAAAGAACCAAGAAGATGAATCCCTGCAGTCACGAAAGCTTTAAATCGAAACTTAAGTCTGTTTATCTATCCACTTATCCATCTGGCTATCACTTCATTTCTCCTCACCCACTTGTCTCTTATTTTGTCATGCTGGTCACCATTTTATCCACTTGCATGTGTGCGTGTATCATCCACAAACTCGTTTTGTGATCCTTCTGTTTTTGCGTTTACGTGTCCATCTACTCATGTCCATCTCCCTCGTCCCCTCTCGCCACACAGATGACCAAGATGCTGGATCTGCTGGAAGACTTCCTGGACAACGAGGGCTTTAAATACGAGAGGATTGATGGAGGCATCACTGGCAGCCTCCGGCAAGACGCCATCGACCGATTCAATGGTGGGTACCTTCACTATCGCCATCACCATAGTCTCCACCAACATCACCCCATCATCACCAACATAACTAATATCACAAGGAGCTTTTGGCAGGATCGATAAGGTTGTGTATAATCACCAACATGACCATCATCTCCAGCAATAACAACACCACCACCAACATAATAACATCACCTTCACCGACATCACTACAGTTTCCAACATAACTAACATCATCACCATTTCTGTAATAGATACCATCGGTGTTGTCATGTTCCTGATGATTCTTAATGTCAGAACTGGCCCATTGTCATTGAGAGTGCAGTGTCAGGGCCGCTTTGTTGGTGGTGAGATGTTATCTCCCTCACCTGGTATACAGGAGGTCGTGATTTAGATCCCAAACTTGACGTCTGCATATTTGGAGTTTGCATGTTCTCCCCATGGTCATTAGGATGTTTCTCCCGGGTCCTCTGGTTTTTTCCTCCACATTTAGATAAAAAAGGATGAGAGTATTTGGCTACTGCTATAAATTTCCACGTGATAAGCCACTTGAGCCCAGAGCTTAGTGCGCTTTACCTTGGTAAATAAAATAGTTTTTTTGATGTCTAATGGTGCTGATCTGCCACTTGTGTCGCCTGCGTTAGCTCCCGGGGCTCAGCAGTTCTGCTTCCTGCTGTCGACGCGAGCGGGAGGCTTGGGCATCAACCTGGCGACGGCCGACACGGTCATCATCTACGACTCTGACTGGAACCCCCACAACGACATCCAGGTGCCCGACATGGCACACGGGGGGGGGGAACTCTACTATTTGAGACGCACGGGGGGGGCTTGATCTGAATCAACACACGGAACTGCAGAGGGGGCGGAAGGATGGCATGGTGCTAACACTCGTGCCTCGCAGTCGGAAGGGCCTGGGTTTGATTCCTGACTTTGTATATTTTCCCCATTCTGCATGGGTTTCCTTCGGGCTCTCTGATTTCATCCCATAGCTAAAAACGTACAGTGGAACTGGTATTACACAAACATCGCACTGCTGAGAAATTACTTGCAAATTGGGATTACACAGATCTTCATGCCAACCTCGCAGTGCATGTCCCTCCACCATCTGCAGAAGTGGCAGTGGCAGTTATGCGATTCGGGCCGCGCGCGTGGCATTTGTTGCCCCCGCCACTGGGAAAACCTGCCAGGACCTTCCTTATAAAAGCCTTTTAAGACTGAAGCTTTACTGAGGAAACCCGAATCACATGGTAACATGACACGAGACACGCAGGACAAGGAGATAAAGCAGCGTAAACCGAAACAAAACACGCGATTCAATACACGGCAGACAACACAAGAATGTGAAGCTTAATAACAAAGTCTCTTTTCGAAAGTGAGACCTGGGCACCCTTAACTTTGTTATTGTTGTTGTGTGCCAGGCCTTCAGCAGAGCCCATCGAATCGGGCAGGCGAACAAGGTGATGATTTACCGATTCGTGACCAGAGCCAGTGTGGAGGAGCGAATCACACAGGTGAGATGTCTGCATTCAACTGCAGGCGGGGAGTGAATGTTAACGCGTTTGAGTGTATGGGTAATGGGGAGAGAGCAATAGCGGCTCGTGTGCTGCGCTACGAAATCCATCGACCTGAGTTCGATTCTCACTCTCGACCAGCGTCGGTGGCGACTAATTGAACTGGTCCTGGGCCTCCCCTAGGTCGACTCGGCCTCAAATGAATACCTGGTGCAGTGTGTAAACATTGCCACTAGGGAGACAAAGGTGGTCAGGCATGGTGCTGGCCATCCACCCCCTCGTGTACCGTGCCGGCCTTCATAGGTGCTTGCTAATAGCACTTACCCCAACAGCCTGTTAAGGTTACACAGAGGATCTTTGTCTTAGTAATGAGCAGGTGGCACAGTGGGCAGCAGAGGTGGTGCATCTGCCAGTGGTCTCATTTAACCCTCAACGTCTGGGTCTTGTCTCATGAGTTGCCAGCAGCCAGCCTGCATACTTAACGTGTCCTCAAAGTGTGTCTAGCAGAGTACAACTACCATGGTGAGGTCAGTGTCTATTCGTGGTGAATGGCAGCTGGAATAATGAAGAGCGATATTGAAGTGGTTCGTATCTTCAACTATAAACATGCCAACCTGAGTTTGATTCCTGGCCACAGCTAAGATCGGTGGAAAATTGTGAACCAGTCCTGGCCCTCCCCTAGGTTGACTCAGTCTTAGAAGTGGATTGGTGTGTACAGTGCTGAGCAAAATGTTTGGACGCAGCAACCTCTTGACCCTCCTGCCCTGAATCACACAGGTGGCAAAGAAGAAGATGATGCTCACTCACCTGGTGGTGCGCCCTGGTCTTGGCTCCACCAAAACCGGTTCCATGAGCAAGCAGGAGCTGGATGATATCCTCAAGTTCGGCACAGAAGAGCTGTTCAAGGATGACGTGGAAGGTAGAGATACACGTGGGCACATTCAGAAATGTGCGGGGAGGCATGGAGACAGTAGGCAACAAGGATGCAGGGATGATGAACATTGGGCCATCTGGGTACACAGGGGAAATGCTTTGGGGTGTACTGGGACACATGACATGAGGACTCAAGGAGATATTCAAAAGCCAGCGGCAGTGGAATAGTCCTTTGGAATATTGGGGGTTCCCCCACGTCATTTATACAGTCCTGTTCAGTTCATTAGCCTCAGCGGGACATTGGCATAACATTGCATGAAAAAAAAAATGTAATTTCTAATTACTCTGTTATGGATCGGCTACGTGCCTCATGGTGATGTCGATATTTACAAGTATCTTTCCGCTGGCAGGTGAGATAAAGGAGAATGACGAGCTGAGCGTGATCCACTACGACGACAAGGCCATCGAGAAACTGCTGGACCGGGACCAGCAGGACAGCACTGAGGTGGAGCCAGACATTCAGAGCATGAACGAGTACCTAAGCTCATTCAAGGTGGCGCAGTACATCGTCAAGGAGGAGGAAGAGGTGAGGGGGTGTGCCTATACAGAGTACCCAGAGTACATGTGCAACACGCACAACACAGTGCATTGTCGAGGAGGCGAGGGTTGCACAAAGTGACGCCCGGATCCTTGCACTTGAAGAATTGCGCCGATACAAGATTTACAACATTTATGAACTCATGATAAATTGTGCTCCTCCCTCCGTGCAGCCCGAGGAGGAGGTGGAGCGGGAGATCATCAAGCAGGAGGAGACGGTGGACCCCGACTACTGGGAGAAGCTGTTGCGCCACCATTATGAGCAGCAGCAGGAGGACCTAGCGCGCAACCTCGGCAAGGGCAAGCGCGTTCGCAAGCAAGTGAACTACAACGACGCGGCGCAGGAAGACCCGGGTATGGAGTACGCACGAGGAGACACGGGAACGCATGGAGAGACACGGCGAGTTTGGAGGGAGGCACAGGAGATGTTATGGAGCAATAGAGGGATGCACACAAGACAGAAATAAAATGACGTGGCTTGGGAAGGACCCCGGGTGTACGGGAGACACGGGTGGGGTGGGGATGAACGAGGAGATAGTGGGGAGACACGGGGACGTGAAGAGACGCTGAGACATGGGGCGGGGGGGATATATGGGTCCAGCGACATGGCAATGCACAGGGAGGGACAGAAGGTTAAGGGAAGTCTGAGAGGAAACGGGGGAGATGCGGATAGTTGAAGGCCGACATGGCGAGTCGCTGCAACACGAGAAGACGGGGGGGGGGGGGGACACGATGGTGATGGAGACAATGAGGGTGTGGGGGGGAGAGACGTTCGAGCACGCCAGTTGTATAAATGTGGTACGTGATGAGGCCTTGAAGGCACAGACATGGGTACAAGTAGGTGAGGACGAGAGGTGGAAACACGAGCAGGAGTGACTACAATGTTGTGCAGAAACTACGGACGGACGTGGAATGGAGACGTGGGGAACATGGAGATGCATGGCGACATTGAGCACAGGAAACACGGGGGGAGGGGGGTGTACAGGTTTTGTGGACATGACTACATCATTGTAAGACATGATTAATCCACTGCTGGATGAAGGCCTCCCCATGCCGTCGCCATCTCCCATGGGTCCAGCGATGTAACAATCCATCTAGCTCCTGCACACGTGGTGGACGTAGTCTTTGAGACATGACGAGGAGACGGCGGGTGGGGGGGAGACCCTTAGTTGGAGACGAATACGAGGGGACGCAGGCTGATGGACGAGACTTGAGGTGTCCGTGTGTCTATCGTGTTTCAGACTGGAGGGACGATTTGTCGGACAACCAGTCAGACTACTCGGTGGGCTCCGAGGAGGAGGACGAAGACTTCGAGGAGAGACCAGAAGGTCCGATCACTCATTCGTTGCAAGGCTCACTCATTCGCTTAATCACTGAATCAGTTTTTTCGCTCTTTCGATTATTCGCTCAATCAATCGCTCTCGATTATCTACTTGTTAAATTGTTTGATGTTCACTCAATATCTCGTACATTTTCTCCATGCATTCCTTCATTATAAAGCTCACTCAAATAAATGAGTCGCTCATTAATTTGAGGTTTGACAAGCATTCTCTTTCCTTAGTTTGCTCATTGCTCATTCACTTGTGGTTCACTTGTTAGATGACTTTTTCATTTAAACTGGCTCATTAAGTTAATTTATCTTGAATGAAAGCTTTCGTGACTGGAGGAATTCATACTCTTTGGGTCTTTTGGTAAAGTCACGTAGATAGAAAAATAATAAAAATCACGACGTTTCAATCGCAACACAAGCAATCGCAAGCAATCGTCTTCAGGTGAAGACGATTAAAGATGATTGCCCCACTATCTCCTCGTTCATCCTCACCCCACCCATGTCTCCTGTGTTGCGATGGAAATGTCGTGATTTTTTATTTTATTATTTTTCTATCTACGTGACTTTACCGAAAGACCCAAAGAGTATTAATTTATCTGTTAATCCTCTTTCCTTTTTATCTGTTTACTCTTGTTTTTCTTTGCTTAATTTAATTTGCCTGTTTTGTGATTTGTTAATTCACTCTTTTTCGATTTCTCACATGTTAATCAACTCTCCAATCAACTTTCGTCCACTTGTTTATTTGCCTGTCCAAGTGAGATGATCTCATTCTTCTGCTCTCTTGCTCGTTTATTGGCAGTCCTGAGCCGGCTGTGGAAAGCTCCACGTTCCTGTGACGTGGACCAGTTTATCCTTATCCTCCCGTGTGTGTGTGTATGCGCTGCCCATGCGGCGCACGTTTGTAAAATATTTCACGTTCGGTTTTTGCAGGCGGCGGACGACGCCAATCCAAGCGCCAGCTGAAGAATGAGCGCGACAAACCGCTCCCCCCTCTACTCGCCCGCGTCGGAGGGAACATTGAGGTACAAGGGGGTGTTCGTGGGCAATGGATAATGATTTGCAGTGACACTGTTTGTAATTATAACTAGACTATTTTTTATTTTACCTGGTAAGGCTCACTGCGCTATGTAGCTCTTTTTCAGAAGTGACCTGGCCACAAATGATCGCTCAACGAAGTGGCTTATGTAGAAATTTATAGTCGCCAAATACTTGTAAACGCATGTTTCTCAATGTGGAGGGAAAACCGGAGGAGCCGGAGAAAAATCCACGCAACCACAGGGAGAACATGCAAACTCCAAATATACAGGCGTCAGGGTTGGGATCGAACCCACGTCCTCCTGTATACCAGGCGAGGTAGTTAACATCTCCTAGCCACTGTGGCGTCCACTATAATTGTCCCCAAGTCCTGGCATAGAGTGGAGGGAGTGAGAACATGGGAGGAGCTGAACTGTTTCTCGTGTGTTAGGGGGAGGATGAGTGTTAGACACGGGGAGCTTGTGTAAGTGGCAGAGTTGTTAGTTTAACACGTAGGCTTTCGCAACCAATATAAAACAAAAACTCTTATGGTTGTTGTTAGTTGTGAGGCTTGGGTGTTTTGTTGATCCGCTCGTCCCCCCCTTCCCGCCCCCTCCACTGCACAGGTGCTGGGCTTCAACGCACGGCAGCGCAAGGCGTTCCTGAACGCGATCATGCGCTATGGGATGCCTCCGCAGGACGCGTTCGGCTCCCAGTGGCTTGTGAGAGACCTCCGTGGAAAGAGTGAGCGCGAGTTCAGGTATGCGAGCTCGCAGGTGTAACGTGTACGCTCACGCACACACTTGTTGCTGCACACACCACAGTGTGTCATGCCCAGCCTCGACCCGGTCTCCAGCAGTGGACGTGGTCACCCTGGTTTTGACACAGAGCAACGTTAACTCCGTGAATCATGGAGGGCGGGCAGGAGGGCCGACCTTAGCTCTTAAAGGCTTCACGGGACAAGTGACTATGGTCATAGCTTGCACGTGCCTGCAGTGCGCCATGCATCCCACTTGTAGCTCACATGGTCTGTTTGGGAAAGTGCTGTTAACGAGCACCTTTGAAGGACCGCGTGATACGCGGTGGGATATTGTGGTCAGAACCACGCACGCCCAACATTGGGGAGGTCCAGAATTGGTTGACATATTCTCCACTGGGGTTAGTCCTGGCCGGTAAGAAAACTCGGGTGGTGCAGCTTGTAGCGCAGCATGCAAACCGCTGCACTTGGAATCCCCACAATGACAAACGCACATAGACACATGTGCAGATTTTTGCACGTACACAGACACCAATATTGGAGGTACATTCCTCTTCACGGTACCTATGTATGCCCCACTGCAATATATTTGTGTTTGTGTGCCAGCTGACGTTCCTTGGTCTTTCTTTTGTCTCCATGGCAGTTGTCTTTGACTGAGATACCAGTAACGTGCTTGTCTCCCTTCCCTCCCGTATCTGTAGAGTGTACATCTCATGTTATGAAACACCAGTGTAATATGCTTATCTCCCTGTGTGCCCCCACCCCCCCCCCCGTGTCTCACCAGGGCGTACGTGTCTCTGTTCATGAGACACCTGTGTGAGCCGGGTGCGGACGGAGCGGAGACGTTTGCAGATGGCGTCCCGCGCGAGGGGCTGTCCCGTCAGCACGTGCTCACCCGCATCGGCGTCATGTCTCTCGTTCGCAAGAAGGTGGGAACGCACACGCCCCCCCCCCCCCCCCCCCCCGACGATGGTGGCAGTAGTCATTGACGGTCATTAAGTGGTGATGGTTATGAGATGAAGATGATGGTGATACAACGATAATGGTGATGGCGGTGAAGAGATTCTTCATGAGACAATGACTGATGATGATAAGATTAGAATGATTAATATGATCATTATTCTGATGATGAGATTAGAATGATTAATATGATGATTATTCTGATGATAAGATTAGAATGATTAATATGATGATTATTCTGATGATGATGAGACAATGAGAGCCAGTGTGTTTGGCAATTTTCATGGTGAGGCGATATTATAGTAATGATCAATTGATGATGTTGACGATGACGGTGAAGTTGATGGAATATACAATTTTTCTTACTAAAATCAATGTCTCCAAAATACATGACTTGGGCTCATGTTTGCCACTTGCCAGCACACACAGGGTGTTGTAGGTATTTAGTTCCCACATTGTCACTTGTTCTAACCCGCATCGTGTCGTGGGCTAAGGTGCAAGAATTCGAGTGTGTGAACGGCAAGTGGAGCATGCCGGAGCACAAGCCTCCCGAGGGCATGGAGGTGAAGAAGGTGGCACCCTCGCCCGTGGACAGTCAGGCCAGTACTCCGGCACCCTCCAAACCCGGTGGGTACCGGTCGTACGTGCCACAAACCCCAGTGAGAAGGCTGCACGCACGTGGCATGGATGTGCACAAACACGCCGGTGCCATCTAAACCTGCTGAGTAACGCACGCACGCACACCAGCCCCCTCTGATCCCCCAGTGCATTACATCACGCACATGTGCCGACATCCAAACGCATTGCAGCGCACGTGCACACTCAACAGGCACTACTCATAAACCTGCTGAGTTGCTCAAGCGTTGGTAGCGCAGCGTGCTAGTCACTATACTCCCGCTTCCCACTCACGCATGCTTGCATGTTCATGCACACGCATGCACAGAGATGTATGCGACGCATGTACACTGGCACGCGCTCGTATCTATAAAGGTTTCGCTTGCCTTATGCGGTCGATGCATTCCAACTAAAGGGCGCGCAAAGCGGCACAAGACAGCTGCCTGTCGATCAGAGCAAACGGTGCACTCACAATGTTGTCCAACGTCTGACCGCATAGCTGCATATGAGTGAAATCAAACCGCATCCCCTTGGGAATCTTGGGTAGAAATATGGTTAACCCCGCGTGTACGCTAAATTGCACAAACCAAACCTGTATAAAGCGAGGGAAGCCTGTATACAAATGCACAAACGGAAAAGGCAAAGATCCCTATCTAGCCTGTAACAGATTGTTGGGGCAAGTGCTGTTAGTGGGCACCTAAGAAGGCCAGCACTTCAAACGTGTGGGGTGAGTGGCCAGCACCATACCTGGCTGCCTTTGTCTCCCTAGGTACTGATCTTTTCACACCACACTAGGTACTCGTTTGAAGTTGAGTCGTCCTGTATATACATGCCCACACACACACATGTATATACCTGGAATAAACGTGTCCATGTATGTGATGTGACCACAGCCACACCGGTTCCGGTGGACAAGGCTGTGAGCGAGCCGGCCACTCCTGCTACTGACACAGCGTCGCCCGCAGAGAAACCCACGGAAGCCGAGGCATGCAAGGAAGAGCCAATGGAGACTGAGGTACTGTCACTGATCTTGCAATCTCCCAAATGTCTTCGAGCATGCCAGTGGATAAAAAGAGTTGGCTTCAATCACGTTTGAGCAGAGACACCCAGGCCTGGGGCTCAAACCCGTTACGAACTCCATGAGAGAGAGAGAGGGAGAGACGCCAAAATTCAGCGATTGATCCCGAGATTCCCAGTGGTGATGACCAGTGGTGTAGCCAGAGGTGTAGCATGGTTGTGTGTGGACCCTGGTGCACGCAATGAAATGGGGGGCTCCCCCACTGTCCAATTTCACACCCCTCCCAGCCCCCCTCTCCCCTTAATCACCTGGTGACTGGAACTATCCGCCCCTTTGTTGCCAATGCAGTCGAACCACCTTCTCACTCCCTCGATAGCTATGCCAGCAGTGCTGGCTCAAGTGTCTCCAACACAACCCATTATGAACTTGCTAGCCACTTATTGTTGTGACTCTGACCACTTCTCTCTCTGCGGTTGCCTTCCATCGTACCCTGTGCAGGCAGCAAAGCCGACAGAGGAGCCCACCCCCTCGGCATCCCCGACCCCTTCAGCCGAGCCCTCCGACCCCACGACCTTGCAACTGGAGAAGAGCGAGAAGACTGACACCACCGATGCTGCAGCAGCAGTAGAAGCAACCGTGGAGAAAGAGGAGGAGGAGGAAGAGTTGATAAAGACGGAGCCGGCAGAGGCACCCGGTAAGAACCCATGATGTTGCCGGGCTACGGCATGAAGCTGAAAAGCCAGCGCCTATCGCCATTGCTTCCTTCTACCAGATAATCCACGGTCCTTTGCCAAGTCGACTCCTGACCTCAAAGGACAGTTCTCAGGCTCAGCACTGCTATCTGACTATGCGTCGTCTTGTAATACAGTAAAAACGTCCTTCCAAGGGACCTCTCTTACAAGGTCTCATCGCATCCAACTGGCTTAGGGGCTTCACTCAGTTGCCGACCTCAGAATCGGAATATTTATTTATATTGGAGGAGGAATTCGATGAGCTCTGCGGCTTTTTTTCCACAGACGTTCAGTAGGGTCAGGTAAGTTATAACAACAAACACCTGAAGACGACCGCTTGTTGTTGCGATCAAAACGTCGTGATCTATTTTTTTATTTTCTATCTACGTGATTTTACCGAAAAAATAAAGTATAAGTTAGGAAATGAAAGCAAATCACGAATAAAACAGCCTGCATTGCTGACTTTTTATGAGTTCCAGCACTCGTTCTCAAGGTGTCCATTTCAGGGGTTCATCGTGTATACTTACACTGCTGAGGTCCTAGATTTCAACGTCCCTGCTTTTTATTTTTCATTTTCACTTGCTCACTCGTGCGTTTATTTTTTTTGAAAAGCACTGCCCAGCGGACTCTTGTTTTGCAACACTCATCCAACGTGAAGCAACGGCGTTGTTAATTTCTGAACTTTGTCTGCACCCGTGTGTGCATGCTTGACTTTGCTTGCCATGATGGTGCCAGCTGATGTTTATTTTGCTTTAGTTTGCTGGCTTGTTAATCTGTAAAATATAACATTGCTGCTTCATTGACATTAATAATTGTAAAAAAAAGCATTGGCATAAAATAAAACGGTGAGTTTTACCCAATGAGAGATTCTGTTAGAGTCCTTGAGACAACAGAAGAAAGACGCCATGGGTACATTGCTGCATGGAGCACAGTGATGGGATTTACCTTGATTAAGGTTCATCAGTGTTAGCCTTGCCCATTTAGAGACTACCAAGAAGACCCATGCAAGAGTTGGCCAAACATCCGAATACAGGACCATGAAGCTGGGGTAATAGTTTGGCACGTTTTGCTCGTCCTGTGGTTTCCCGTGTCTCGGTGCGAAAACTGAGTGCATTACAAATTTATCAGGTGTTTTGAGATGCCAATTTGTCTGAACGACGCTAGATAAAACTAGAACGTCGTATTAGCTGCGTATTCCCCTTTTGTTGGCCAAAAGATGGATGCAGCAGAATTTTTCTGAAGGTAAAACTCTTGACCGTTTTATTGTTATTATTTCCAGGAAGTCGCAACCCGATAACAGTTGAGAGTGCCGTTTTGTTTAGTTACTAAATCAACACGGCCCCGAGCCAGCGTGGTCGTTTATTTTTGCCGCTGTGAAATGACAAACTGTGAATTTCTTTTTTACGCCCCCTTCCCATTCACCTCCCAGAGCCCCCAGCATCGCCATCTATTTAAAAAATTTTCGGTGCCCACTGAGTCTCATCGGATCAACATGGCCTGCTCCCACAATCCCCATTGTAGCTTTTTCGTGCTGGTCCCCCACAATGCGGCTCCCACCACGCTTGGCAACAACGATAGTAGACCGCAGTATATATGATGGCTTTCTTGATAATCACATAACCACAACTTGAAAATTATTTTTTGACCACGAACAAAGTTTTTACGTTCATGGGGGACAGCCAAGCTTGCGAGTCTGCCGCATAATATCATGAGCTGTTTAGGGTTGTGTCCTCCTTTACCCGAATGTGTGATTTTTTTGTTTAATTCATTTATTTTTACGTTCACCCATCCGTGTGCCGCTTATTCATACGCCGCGACCTCCTTTTTGCGCGTCAACCTTCCTTGCCCCCCCGTTCAGCCGAAAGCAAATCGGAGGAAAAACCGGCGGAAAATCCAGTGGAAATTCCGGTGGAAAAGCCGGTGGCGGAAAAGCCGGTGGCGGAAAAGCCGGCGGCGGAAAGTCCGGCGGCGGAAAAGCCGGCGGAAAAGAGCACGGATGCGCCCAAGGAGGGGACAGACACGGAGGCAGCTGCCCCGGAGAGGGAGGGTGACGGGAGCAAAGGTTAATGGAACCGACACCTTTGACCTGTCTCTCCCTCCGCCTTTCTGTCTCTTGGGTTAGGGCAGGGCGGCAGTGGTCGCGTTGTTGGATGGTGGTTGTTCGTGGTGGGTTTGTGGGTGACGATGGTGATTTTTTTTGGAAGTCCAAAATGTGTGTGGTAGGCAAACCACAAGCATATTAATCATGTTGGGTTTGTCAGTTGATTTTCGTTAGTTTATTTGGTAGTCGTCGTTGATTTTTGCAATCGATAATTAAATCTAGTTGGATTTTAGTTGCGATTGAACCGATTTGGCACATGCGAACCTTCAAACCGCATGGCTCGCTCCAATGCGGTTGCATTGGAATCTTTACTTGGACTGGAAGAATCCAATGAGCTTTTTCATCGTAAGGCATCATCGGTGGAGACTGGTACAAGCACGACATTAAAACACTACAAATACAATAACAATTGAGAAAAAAAAGGATACTTGTTGAATTAAAAAAAAATGTATTCTTCCATCGAATCCTAATTTGAATCATGGCACCACATCTCAAGTGCTTGTGTGGGTTGAGAATTGTTAGAAGCCTGATAAAAATGGTTGATATTGTTTTAACATTTCCTGCTCTTCATTTGTCTATAATTTATTTTTCATAAATTTATTTCATTGTCATGGTATTCATTCCTGCCTCCTCACAACAATCCTTGGGGGTGGTTTTGTAGCGGTCGGAGCACTTCAATCGCAATCACAATGAGTTAAATTGTGGTCCGGTATGACTGATTCCATTATAAAATAATAATCGTCATCATCCACTGGCATCAATGTCATCATTTGTTAATGGATCAATTAAATAATGCTTTCCGGTAAGTCAACAGTGGTTGTGCGATTACTAGGCTGTGCACCGCGGGATCAATGTGGGATTTCCACCACTGGCTGAGGGGACGAGTGCTCTGACCATAGGGCACCACCTGCTCATCGCACAAGCAACAATCATCCTGACGCCATGCTGAGCAAGGCTGCTTGACTCGCCGCTGAGCAGGACCACCCCCCCTCCACCCCTGATGTTCACCGCAATCCTCTGCTCTCCTTCAAGTAACGAAATTGTGAAGTTCTAACACAGCTCGCTCTCCTCCCTTCTCCCCTCCCCGTTGCCGTTGTTGCTCCTCGCGGAATGTCGCGTGCAGACTCCACGGAGAAGCCGGTGCTGACGAAGGACGTGGAGGAGGTGGTGGTGGCGGCCGCGGCCGTAAAGCCCGCGGAGAAATCTGACGAAAAGAAGGAGGAGAAGAAAGAAGAGAGGCCCGAGAAGCCCAAGTTCATGTTCAACATCGCCGACGGTGGCTTCACAGGTGAGGGGGGGATGCTCGTTGAGCGGGGTGCTTCGCATGGGATGGCAGGGGCGAGAGAAAGGACTGGCAGGCTAGCTAGGACGAGCAAGAACTAAATCGTAATCGCAATATTTATCCTGGAGAAATCCGATTAGCTATGAAGCCCTTTTTCACAGATGTCCAAGGGCTAAAGGCTAGCAAACACAAGTGCGGATATGCTGGTATTCGTGGGATGTAGAGGAGATGGAGTGAGGTGCCAGGCTTGACTCGGGGTGTTAAAGCTGAGTGTGTGTACGCAAACCTCTCTGTTTGCGCGTGTGCTTTTGTACGTGGCTTTGAGTGTTCATGCATGTACATGCTTGCGTACGTAGCTGTGAAATGCGTTGCGTACCTATGCGTACACGCCCATTTGTGTCCACGCCTGTGTTTATGCATACATCCCCACGTCGCCTCAATCCCCCCGCCTCTCCCTCCTGCAGAGCTGCACACACTGTGGCAGAACGAGGAGCGAGCCGCGACGACTTCTAAGAAGATGAACGAGATCTGGCACCGGCGGCACGACTACTGGCTGCTCGCCGGCATCGTCACGTATCCTTGCGTCTGCCGAGCGTTGCCATCCCATTCTTTCATCTCGTTTTTAAAGTAACACCACAACAATAATACGTGGCCGTATAAAGACTCGTGTGTTGGGGAATGGGTGAGTTGTAACAAGCATTTGTCGATATGTCCATTTGTTTTGTCAGTTCATCTCAGTCGATCCATTGGTATGTCAGTCTCTGCCGTCTGTCCGTTTAATACAATTTGTCCCATATGTCCTCACTCTTACGTTTTTGTATATAATCGATTTTTGGGTTAGATCATGTAATGATCTGGACAAATTTGTGTCATTTTATGATCCTCCACCTGCCACAGCCAAGCATTTTAAATGGTCACGCGCACAAGCATTTAACGTGCCGATTATTATTGTTCCAACACGCCGGTAAGTTGAACAATCCTCTCGCAACCAAATCTCTCTCGATCTCGTTTATTCATTGGTCATTCTGTCCGCCCGCTTTGCTGTCGGTCAGTATGTATGTATGTACGCGTGTCGGTCCGTCCTTTGTTGTTGAGCCTTGACCCCCCTTTGGGAATGGCAGGCATGGCTATGCGCGCTGGCAGGACATTCAGAACGACGCTCACTACGCCGTCATCAACGAGCCCTTCAAGATGGAGATGAGCAAGGGCAACTTCCAGGAGATGAAGAACAAGTTCCTGGCACGCAGGTTCAAGGTGAGCAGGGTGTGGAGTCCGTGCGTAGCATTGTTGATGTTTTCTATATTTATGACCTTGATACGTCATTGTTTATAGCAATACATCATTATTGATATTGTCATTGATTCAAATTTGGCTAGTTAACATTCATATTGATAAACATGATTTTTTATTGACTTAAAGCTTTCGTGTCTGCAAGAATTAATATTCTTTTGGTCTTTCGGTAAAGCCACGTTGATAGAAAAATAATGAAAAATTAAAATATCACGACGTTTCGATCGCAACAAGCAATTGTCATCAGGTGAATGACGATTTGCTTGTGTTGCGATCAAAACGTCGTGATATTTAAAAAAAATTTTATTTTTCTATCGATGTGGCTTTTCCGAAAGACCCCAAGAATGTGATTTTGTTCATCCGTGAAATTATTGTTTATATTTGAGTGTTCTTGCATAATTATAACCGGATTCTTTACTCCCACTTCACAAAACATGCGATTTTGTGAGGTACGAAAAGTTTACAGGCCATCCCCCAATTTCGGACTCGCTGTAGGAGGGAGGATGTTTAGTTTCGTTCAAGTTAATTTTGTTTAACCCAGGTGAGAACTCAGACAACCACGATAAGTCTCTTTGCAGAGAGTGACCTGGGTCACCAAAAATTACAAAGCAAAACGAATGAAATTAAAAGTTTTGCAAGGAAGCAAATGTAAATTGGAGCAAAAGCAACAGCTTCACATCAGAAGTAAAAAAAACGCTCTGCATCTTCCCGCACCTACCACCACCGGTCTCTTAACATCCTTACCACCACCCCCCCACCCCAGCTGCTGGAGCAGGCGCTGGTCATTGAGGAGCAGCTGCGCCGCGCCGCCTACCTCAACATGACGCAGGATCCCGGCCACCCAGCCATGGCTCTCAACGCTCGCTTCGCCGAGGTCGAGTGTCTGGCAGAGAGCCACCAACACCTGTCCAAGGAGAGCCTCTCCGGCAACAAGCCGGCCAACGCCGTGCTGCACAAGGGTATGCGCAGAGACATGCGGAGACACACGGAGACAGCAGGGGGAGATGTTGAGAGATGCATAGAGACGCACGGGGAGATGGGGTGGGTGGGGATACAATAAGACGTGGTAGGCGGTGGTGATATGGGAAATCAAGCCAGCCCGGCCCAGTGCAGTGCTGCGCGAGGGTACGATATATGTGTAATATGAGGATATATCCGGCTCACTGACGTATCACATCTCGTCATGGTGATCGGCTCTGCCTGTCCTGGTTTACAGCCAATGGGGGGAAGCTTGGGGGCATGGCCCTGACGTGATGGAAAGGTGACAGTTATAAGGATTGGTTCTGCTGGCTTTGGCCTCAGCCAATGGGGAGATGAGTCAGGGGCGTGGTCCCGGGAGCTGACGAGGGAGCCTGGAAGATTCCATGCAGGCTAACGAGGATTGGCGGAAACGTACCACGTGACCCAGGTATTAAATAGGGGTGGAGACGAAACGACACGTGGTCAGAACGGGAACGAACAGAGGAAGTTGGCCACGCGGGTGCGTCTCTGTCTATCTGTCCCTCTCACGCTGCCTATCAGCAGCGTGAAGTAACTGTAACATAAGTTGAATTAAAGACGGATTCCAGAAGTCATCTCAACGAGCTTTATTACACATGGAGAGAGATACGAGAGACATGGGGAGGCACAGGGAGATGATACCTTAAACATGGGGAGAGGGGTGGGGTCATGGGGGGTTAGGGGGATACAGGGAAACAAGTTGGCCATATATTGTGCTACAGAAAGGGTATTGTGGACACATGGGAAACATAGGGTGCATGGCCATACAGTGGAAATGGGGAGAGCCGTACACAGAACTTCTGGAATCTAGGAGCATGAAATCATCCTCACAATGCACAAGGTGGCTCTTTTCGCCTTCTTTCACGCCGCCTACCCAAACAAACCATCGTGAGCATTTCCCCATTGCTCCTGCTCCCCATTTTTATATCTTCCTGTTACCTTTCAACAATATCGTTCCCCACGTTTCTTCAACTTCAGCCCCTGACATCTGAACATCCGACCCCGTGATAGTTTCACCCCATCCTACTTTTGACCACGGACTCCTCGTTAGTGCCGTCACCTCACATTCTATCTCTCGCCCTTGGTCCCTCCCACGTGCCGCCACCACCACCACCGGCGCCCCCCATTTCTTCTCCAATTCGACCTCTAACCTCTCCCCCACTTGTCTGCCGCACCCTGTCCCCTCCCCGCAGTGCTGAACCAGCTGGAGGAGCTGCTGAGCGACATGAAGGCAGACGTGACGCGTCTGCCATCCACGCTGTCCCGAATCCCGCCCGTGGCGGCGCGCCTGCAGATGTCGGAGCGCAGTATTCTGTCCCGACTCGCTAGCCGGGGCGGCGGTGGCGGTGGCGGCGAAGCAACCGCCCCTCCCGGCGCCACACAGGTGCGGCGCCACTACCACCCCCACCGTAGCCTTGCACGGATGTGCAGCTGGGTTAGGTCTGGTGATGGCCGGACAAGGCTCGAGCAAGACGAGAGCTGATTGCCTGAGCAATTATGAGTTGGCCGGCGCTGGCCTGAATTAGATTAAAGCTGCACGTAATGAGGCAGACCTAGCTGGAATTGGAGCAAGGAGCTTTGTGGAATTAGCCAGAGTTGTTTACCTGGAGCGAGTAGAACAAAAGCCGGACGCAGCCAGAGATAGTTGTGTAGCGAGCTAGTCATCGCCAGCTATATATGGCAAGCGACAGCGATTCCATGATAAAGAATGTTGAGTCCGTTCCTTTGTTTTGTAAAAACATTGACTCCGATGGTAGAACAGGTGACTTATAGTTTAGTAATAAAATAAGAACAATAAATATAAACACGCATGTAAGTTGGGTTATAAAACGTGTTTACGTTGTGTGAGGGTGAAGGCGTAATATAAGAGACAAAGACCCCCCCATGCATACTCTTTGGTTATTTCGGTAAAGTCATGACAACCGCTTATGTTGCGATCGAAGCGTCGTGATATATATATTTTTTCCTACGTGACTTTACCGAAAGAACCAACGAGTATGGATTCCTGCAGTCACTAAAGCTTCAAATCAAGACCCCCCATGTAGCCTTAACAGACTGTTGAGGCAAGTGCTGTTACCGAGCAGCACCTATAAAGGTCGGCACGGCATACGAGGGGGTGGGTGGCCAGAATCGCGCCTTTGCCTCCCCAGTGGCGATGTTTACACTGCACAAAGTACTAATTTAAGGCTGAGTCAACCGATTTAGATAATCGTCACTGGTGTTGGTCGTGAGTGGGAATTTAACTTGGGTCGCCGGGTTCGTAGCGCAGCGCGCTATAACCGTTGCACTACCACTCTCCACACACGAGACAATAGACTAAACGTCTTCACGTATCTGTGTCTCCACATTAAAATTAGATTTTTTTTACACAACTCATTCGCCTTCTGGTCAGATTTAGTTTCCGCAGCATTGATTCACAACAATAAACTTGAATCTGCTGCCGCCGAAACTATGCACTCCCCAGAAGACAGTGTAGCTGATAGGTTGTAAATAGTTTCATTTGTAAATGAGACATCTGATTATTCATTTTGTTTTATATATATTCTCAACAACGACGCTAACTTGGAATGTGTGTAATCAGTTAATAATAGAACAAGTAAGCACATACAAGGTGTGAATGAGCTTTTACCCCCCATTGTTAATATTCTATTAGTTTTCTTCTGTCGGTCCAGTGAATCTGCTTGTGGAAAACTGAGTGAACTGTATGACAACAGCTGTTTGCTCTTTGGCTTGCGTCTTCATTTACCCGTGGATACGCTGACACTCGAATGTCTCTGTCTGTCTCGTGTAACGGCCGGCAGGCTGGGGGTGGAGGCACTACAGGGGGAGTGGCAGTGGGGGGTGGTAACGGGACCCCCCCTGTGAGCCGGGCTCCCAGTGGCCTTCCTGGGACTCAGGGCGGGGTCATCAACTTCAGCCAGATGCCAGCGGGGCCATACGCCACGGGTAGGGTTCAAACCTCTGTTCACCTACTCCACTCACCCACCCATCCATCCACTTAACCACCCATCCATCATCCACTCACCCATCCATCCATCATCCACTCATCCATCATCCACTCTCCCATCCATCTATCCGCTCTCCCATCCATCTGCTGACCCATCCATCCACTCTCAATTACAACCCAAGCTTATTATTATGACTGGAAGGGAATTTGAGATGAAACTATCTTTCTAGGTTTATCACATGCAAGGCTGTTGTAGCCCAGCTTCTTGTCTAGAATATTTCATGTTCCCATCCGCCCTCCCAATCTTTACCGTCTTTGCCTCTGTCCCCACAGCTGTGAATGGGATGTCCGGCACAGATAAGAAAGGGGGGGCTGTGGACGGCTCCTCGAAGGAGGGGGGGGTGAGCGGTGGCGCGGACAAGAAGGGGAACAACAGCGACGTCGTCATCTGTCTTGATTAATTCGCATTGAATTAAGCCACGTGCAAGAAGAAGAGACAGAGGAGAGCTACCTTCGGTTTTGTCGGAGGCTTGAGAAAGGCCAGCTTGTGATTCTCTCCTTGTGTTGTCTGTCTCCAACCTTCACACGTAACTTCTATACCCCCTTTTCCTCATTCTTATCTCCCTTCTCTATCTCATCTCTCCTCGTCAGCGTTCTGTTTCTATCTTGCAGCTGCCAACTTTTGTAATTCACTGGGGGAGTGTCCAATGTAAATTTCCGTTTGTCCACCCAATTTTATTTGGGGTTCTTCTCAGAAGTTTGCAGCAGTGGCTGTTCAAAACGGTCTTGGATACGACAATTACACTATGACGCCAATTCACAATCGTAATAAAGTGATTTTTTTAAGAGCCCAAGGAAAACTCTTTTATTTATTGGGGTTCTGTCTTGATTTGTGATGCTCACTGAACCAGACTTAAGGTGCCCACAAGATGTTTTTCGGGTTCACTATAAATTCCGAAGTCTCCCAAGAAGTAAAAGGGGGACGCCCTTGCAATCGTGTTGCTTCAGTGTTAATTCTGGAGTTTCATAGACTCAATCCCAGAGCCCTCTTTCGGAATACGGTTCAGGGGTAGTTCCTGAGGCTCTTATGGCTTATGTATGCTGAACTTCTTTTGCACCATACATAGTCAACCGTGGTAATCGGATGGTTCCGCATTGCTCATACCCGACTCGACTTGAGCAACCTCGCAATTCTTAGGGCTTATTGCGCGTGGTTTGCACTTGCGTAAAACTTTCCCTTCGCTTGGCCCCCCAGCACCCCACACACATTTGTGGCAATCAAACCGGAGGAGATTTGCAAACTTTTGTCAAAAGTGGCGATTCTTTAAGTGGCTTTTTGGGAGTCTGGCAACTGTCGGCTGTGTCTCGACCTCTGATTTTGGTCCTCGTTTTATTTTCTGCTGCTGCTGCCATTGTCTCTGCTCCGCATTGTGGACCCCGTGCTGTTTTGCCGTTGTCTCTTGGATGTGGAGACAGGGTTTTGCAAGGGAGCCGCTCGTTCGGCGATGGATTTTAATTTTACCAAAACATTTCCATCCACAGACTTTGAGTATCCCCCCCATCATCATAAAAAATTAAAAATCGATATCAGCATGGTATTGTCGTCTTGTACAAAATGTTATTACATTATTATTGTTATTTTTGTTAAGTTTACCACCCACCCAAACTATGAAGTGGCCTGATTGATGAATCTTCAGGAAGGCATTTTCCCCATGTTTTTTTTATTTCTGGAAAACAATAAACATGTGAGAAAGCCGACTGGGTTGTTTTGCGACCAAGTGTCAGTGGAAAAACTGCCTTTCCACCAACAGGAATTGAGTCTGTTGCGCGTCCGTGGGTCTGCATCGATTTTGTTGTTTCACCTTGCCGCGGCTTCTCACCTCCGGGCGCTGTGCGAAGCAGTGGATGGGGGGGGGATGAAGCTAAATGGGGGATGTCCTGCAAGTCTCTCCCAATCCAGAGTTTGTCTCAAGTTTAAAATGGCTCGAGAAATCCCATTACGCACAACGTGTGTTTATTTAAAAAAAAAAACTTTTTCCTGTAAAAATAAATTCTACACGTCCAGTCCCCCCCCCCTTCCCCCCCGATCAGGGCGTCGTGCAACGGCGATGCACGGCATGCGAAAATGATAAGTACGCGATTTTTTTTTAGTGAACGTTGAAAAGCACGTACGGTTTTAAAACGACGTTTGGTGATGGACGGACATTGGTGAAACAGCTGGTGGAGCACGTGGATGCGTGTGTGTGCGGTGGGGGGGGGGGCGTCGTGCGTGTATTTGTGTCGCCACTTTTTCTTCACGAGGTCGTGCTCTTTTATCGGGTGCGGAATTGGAGGTCGTGCCGTGTGCCTGGGCCACGTGGAACCCTCCCTCGTGCGCGAATTAATCGGTACCAGGACTCAGGTGGACTGTCGTTAGGTCCCATTCCAAAAGAAAACTCCCGTGACCACGTTTCTTTGTGCGTGAATAGCGTCATCGTGTTATTGTAATAACTAATAACAGCATCGGATTGAATTCGTGTGTAGACCAAGCAAGTGGCTGTTTTGTTTGCTCGCTGAGTTCAGATTTTTCATTTTATGTATTTAGTTTGTGTTTTTAGTGCTCGTCATCACCTCGCCTGTTAAAGGAGACCTACAATTTGGAGTCTAAGAAATAGATGCAAGTCATGTTGCAGAAATGAACTCAAACGTAAGTTTAAAACTTCCCCCTCGATGAAAAAGTGAAAATATTAAGCGAAATTCCCAATAGCTCTTTGCAAATACGGAAATATCACTGGGTTAAATGAATCAAATATATATTGGGGCTTCAATTGAATTTAAGGTTTCGTGTGTCGCGCCGTGTTCTCTGGAAGCTCAAGGGGGCCTCAGTTTGTGTGGTCAATCGGTACCAGTGGGCATCGGCATGGGTCCAGATTGTTAACAAACATTGGGCAGCATCCTTTAATTTCAATAGAAACTCGTTAATAAAGTATTTGGCTGCTATAAATATCCGCATGATAAGCCACTACGTTGAGCTATCGTGTGTCATAGGCCAGGTCGCTTCATAAAAAAAATAAAAAGCTACGTTGCTCAGTGGGGCCTATACCTGGTTAAATTAAATGAAAATTTAGTTTAAAACCAACTGCCTCGTTTGCAGCTGCTGCTGTATCTGCGTGAAACCCTGCAGAATACGTCGTAAAAGTTCTCTCTGTTCTTAAATTAGGGCAAAAAAATCGTGAAATTGACCAAAAGCCCTGTTTGCGTTGTTACTCCGTGTGAAAATTGACGGAAGTTTTAGCTACAGGAGAAAATACCCAACGCTTATAATAATGGCGAGGAAGTTAAACGATCTTTGTGTGGCGGGGTTGGGGGGTTATTTGGCGAGTTGGTCAAGAATGGAAATGGATACTCGGGGGGGAGCGGGGCGGGGGGTGAGCCATGGTTGCTGGAGTTATTAATAAAACCACAACACTGTATATATTGCTGAAACTTAGTAGCATCTTGTGTCGTAAATCCCTAGAGAGACGTCGGATGTGTTGGGAGGATTGTACGAGGGATTTTGGCCAAAATAAAATAAGTTTTTAAAAAGTAACCACCTGCGACGCGTTTCAGTTTTTAGGTGGTCTGGATTTTTTTGAGGTGGGTCTGCTTCTCGAGGGTCGACTTGTCCGTCTTCAGCACACATGTATGCATGTTGAACCTATTCAGCACTTTACATATCCAACCGTGCTAATTGGAGCATCCGTCGGAAAAAAACAATCTCAATCCGCTGCTGGATGGAGCCCTCACCAAGCTGTGCCGCCATCCCAAACGGTTCCGCGATGTTGCAATCCTATCGAGCGCCTTTCTGCACAAGGGGTCCATTTCGTCGCTCCATCTCTCCGCGGCGCGTACCCTCATTTGGCTGCCAGTTATTGACTCATCGACAAGTAACGATGGAATGTTAAACGTAATTAACGTCAATTTAATATCGGCAGTAATTAACACAATCATTAAAACGATCGTCATCCTGGAAAGCAAGTGAATAATTCACCATCCACATTAGTGTAATGGTAGGTAACGTCTTGGTTCTTTCGGTAAAGTCACGTAGAATGGAAATAATAAAAAGAAAACGTCTCTGACGTCGATCTCTCAGCAGAGGGCAGTGCGGCAGTAGCCAGGCGCACCAATGTCGATTCCTTGAACTTCCGCTGAGCAGCAGCAGCAGCCGCGTGGTAAATGGGTCAACCCACAATCCATGCGGCGTGGGGACCCTCATCCAGCAGTGGATTGACAAAAGGGCTGTACGCGTTCACGACAACCCAATGGGAGCAGCAGAGGAGGAAGCGACCCCCCCCTCGCTGAACGAAGACTGACTTGGGGATGTGGGAAGGCTTCGACAGAAAACCCTTGTCTGCTAGAGCAGAGAGGACGTGGAGGGGAGTCGTGAGATGGGAGAGGAAGGAGAGAGCGTGGGGGGGGGGGGGCAGTAGAGAGCGTGGAGGGGCGTAGTGAGATGAGAGGCAGGAGAGAGCGTGGGAGTGGAGTGAGATGAGAGGCAGGAGAGGGGGTGGAAGGGAGTGGAGTGAGATGAGAGGGGAGAGGCAGGAGAGTGTGTGGAGGGGCGTAGTGAGATGAGAGGCAGGAGAGAGCGTGGGAGTGGAGTGAGATGAGAGGCAGGAGAGGGGGTGGAAGGGAGTGGAGTGAGATGAGAGGGGAGAGGCAGGAGAGTGTGTGGAGGGGCGTAGTGAGATGAGAGGCAGGAGAGAGCATGGGAGTAGTGAGATGAGAGGGGAGAGGCAGGAGAGTGTGTGGAGGGGCGTAGTGAGATGAGAGGCAGGAGAGAGCGTGGGAGTAGTGAGATGAGAGGCAGGAGAGAGCGTGGGAGTGGAGTGAGATGAGAGGCAGGAGAGGGGGTGGAAGGGAGTGGAGTGAGATGAGAGGGGAGAGGCAGGAGAGTGTGTGGAGGGGCGTAGTGAGATGAGAGGCAGGAGAGAGCGTGGGAGTAGTGTGGGGGTCGCTAGCCCCCGAGATCCCTCCCTCGATAATGCTAACGGCCGGGCTAGCATCATCAATCGCCCCCCCGCTGCTAAGTTCCTCACCTATGGCGGGGGAGCCGTCGCCCGCGGATTCCCCTCCACCGCGGGTCCGCGTAATGGGCATGGTTAATTACCGATTAGTATTCTGCCCCTCTCTACTACGATACTTCCCTTTCCTAATCGCGCGCCTGCAACCCACGCGGAGCGAACGCACGCACGCCCACACACACGCCGCTCCGCGCACTCCAACTCAACTCACGTTATACTCGCGCACCTGTATCACACACGGAGTGAACACACGCGACACCCACTCTCGCACCGCTCTGCGCAGCGCTCCCCCGAGGCGAGCCGCAGCACCACAGAATCACTGCGTACCCACGCGCAACCCGCGCGCTCAGCTCCGCGCAGCGCTCACTCACGTGGCGAACCACTGTGCACACAGCGCACCCACACGCTCACACTGCACGACAAGATCACGCGAGACCACGCTTCGCTATTAATGATTTATTATAGGCCACCTGCGAATTGATGTTGAATCAGTGAGTCGACGAGGCTGGCCTATTCCACTAAACCTGTACCTATTCCCTATTTATCGGCTTACGATACCCTACTTCACCTCCCCACTCACTGTTTGGTGCCCGCGGAGGTTCGCTGCTCTCTGCGCTAACAGCGTACCTCGATGCGTCGCACGGACGTCCGGGTCGCTGGCTGGAACCCCTGCTGGTCCGCTGGCCTGGAGAGAAGGCGCGATTTCCCCTCTCCGCTCCTCTATTTATCCTCCCTACCTCAAAGGGGATGCTGCGCTGAACAATCGGCTCGTGCACCCCAAGCCCGTGCACGGCGGTTCCCCGGGCGCTGTTGATATGCTAATCAGTGTGCTGCGTGCAAGGCGTAAATCCTAATTAATCCCTTACCCTCCCTAACAATGGGGCCTGCGCGCTCAAGCGCAATTATCCCAACCCTCCATGACTATGCGCAACAGCCCCTGTGAGCCCGCTATTCATGCTGTCCCGTGCCTCCCCTGCTTGCCCCGTCGACTCGTGGGGGTGTGTGTGGGGGGAAATGCGCCTCAACCGCGGTGGCCGAATGCCCCACGCCGCGACCACACCATATTAAGGCCGGCCGCAGCGCCGCGGTGCCACGTAGCACGGGGAGGTCATCCAATTCCCTGATCGCCGGAAACCGTGAGAATTAATCCCGATAAGGGTCTCTCGGATAAAAACCGGTCGATCAGGTGACCTTCCCTTCCAGCTCTATGGGGGGGGGGGGGGAATGCGTGCGGGTGTGTGCTTATGTGGGGCGGGTGATGGGGGGCAGTGCGGTGGGGGAAGCCGGGCGGCTCCCTGGTTCGGCAGAGCGGCCCCGTCGTTGTGGCACCACATAGCCCCCCGGGGTGCCAGTCCCCGTCCCGGGTTGACTGGAGCACCTCGCCTGGGTTGCCCCCACGAGGTATCGCCGCGGGGTCCGCGGGATTCGCCCGGCCCTTGTGGCTGGCCTCGGGGGTGGCGGCTCCGTCTCCTGGGGCTCCGGCGGTGGTCTCCTCCTCCATTCCAACGGCTCCCCTCGGCCTCTGGCACCTGCGGGCTGGGGAACAAACTCAGAGGCGGTGGGGTTTAAGGGTCGCCGTCCTCGTCGCCCCCGGCCCCGCCCGGGGCCCCTCGGAGCCCGGGGCTCCGAGGGGCCCATGTACTGCGCGAGGCCCCCGGGCACGGGGGGTGGGGGGACCCCAGGGTTTCGGGGTACTTGGACGGCGGGGCTCCCCCCCTCGGGGGCTGCTCGCCACGGCTTCAGTCGGCGGATGTTGACCACCATCTCCCGGCCCCTCTCTCCTCCCTGAATCAGCACCGTCCATGGTGAGATCTGCCGTCTCACAATCCAGGGTCCTCGCCAGTAGGTGGTCAGCTTCCCCACCTGTCCGGCACCGACGCGGGGAGTGTACAGCCACACCTCGGAGCCCGCAGTGTAGAAGGGGGGCTCCATACGGGGTCGGGCGCCCTGCTCTTGCCGCTGGTGCGCGGCCTCTCCGTGCGGGCAGGCTCGGCCCCTGGCCCCTCGCAGGGTCTCCAGCAAGTGCTCCACGGGGTGGCTCCCTTCCTCCCGTTGCGGCGGAGGAACACCGAACAGCAGATCTGCGGGCAGGCGAGACTCGCGACCAAACATCATTAGGAACGGGGTCTGTCCTGTAGAGGTGTGAACGGCGGTGGTGTAGGCGAACAGGGCATAGGGAAGGTGTTCGTCCCAGTCCTGTTGATTCGCGGCCGCCATGCGTTTAAGCTTCCCGGCCAGAGTCTGGTTCATCCTCTCTACCATCCCGTTCGCCTGGGGGTGATACGCCGTGGTTCGGTCCTTCTGGATCCCGAACTCTCGGCACAGCGCCTGAAATAGTTCGGCCTCGAATTCACTACCCTGGTCGGTAATGACTCGTTCGGGGATCCCGCACTTAAGTACGTAGTTTTCCACGAAGGCCCGGGCCACTACAAGGGCTGTTTTATCCGGGATAGCCACCGCCACGGGGTAGCGGGTGAAGTATTCCACCGCTACGAGAATATATCGGTTGCCCTGGTGGGATCGTGGAAAGGGCCCCTGCAGGTCGATTCCGACCAACTGATTCGTCCGACTGACTCAGAACGGCCTCAGGGGTACCTGGTACCTCGCCGGCTTTTGCCCACACTGCTGACAGGCCCGGCAGCCCTGCACCCAGGCAGCCACATCTTGTGCCAATTTGGGCCAGAGATACTGGCGACGCAGGGTCTCTCGAGTGCGTCGTTCCCCATCGTGGCCCCCGAGTGGGTGGTCATGCACCAGCCGTAGCAGCTGGGGTCGCACCTGGGCAGGAACACAGATGCACCCCGGCTGGCCGGCCTCGGTTAACTCCCGTACCACTCCGTTCCGCACACACAACCGGGCATACAAACCGCTCCAGGGTCCTGGTAGTGCGCTCTTTTCCTCCCGCAGTGCCGCCTCCACTGCCGCCAGATCCGGATCTCGCTGCTGGGTCTGTCTCAGCTGCTCGTCGTTTAGGCCCGGGAAGGCGCAGCCGACGTCCTCCTGGATCCGTCCGATCGGGTCCCGAGCCGCGGGTCCCGCGCTTGCCGGGCGGTCGACGGGATCCTCAGTGCCACCTGTGAGGGTTTCTGTGGCGCACACTGCACTCTCCCTCGCTGGGGGGGGGTCAGTGGCCGCGGCCTCTCGGGGGTCCGTTGCCTGCCGGCAGCGTCCCCCCGTGAAACACGGGCAGGCCTCCTCCGCCCTCGTCTCGGCGTACACCGTGGGTCGCCTCGACAAGGCGTCCGCGTTTGCATGCGTCCGGCCAGCCCGATACTCGATTTGCAGGTTGTACTCCTGCAACTGCGCCAACCACCGGGCCATCTGCCCCCGCGGCTCCTTGAATGTAAGAAGAAACTGCAGAGCATAATGGTCAGTGCGTACGCGACATCTCCTGCCGTACAAATACGGCCGGAACTGTTTGCATGCGAAAATCACGGCGTACAACTCTTGGCGGGTCACGCAATAGTTCAGCTCGGCCCCACTCAAGGTCCGGCTGGCGTACGCGATGACTCGTTCCGTCCCATCC